TATATATCACCAAAATCAGTATTGTAAGGAGTATTAGTTCGAATTAAACATGTTGGCATATGTAACACATATTTGATGGAAAACATTATCATAAAGAGAATTTGATTCAACAGAGATATTCAAGTTATCGAAATCAAAATATTCTCAATATTTGAATTATTGGCACGAAATAATGTGCATACACTACGGTTACTATAACCACTAATGCGAGTGCTCGCATTTGGATAGGTAAAATTAGCTTCATATTGAAGTTGATGACATTACAATCATAAGATTTATCAATGTGAAGTCTATATAACTGTATATGCAAAAATAAAACAGCGACTGAATGGTTAGCATGCATATCTTTTCAAATGTACTGTTTTAGTTAATAATGTTCTCTATATTTAACCGAATACAGAATGATTGAAATAGAAAAACAATGTTTATCAATAAACATCGTAATAGTCAAGATGTATAGAGATCTACCGTTATTTATAGTGGATATTTATGTGTACGAAGTAATCGTTGATCAAAAGACAATAGTTTCTCATCAGTACTTGGTGACATTCGAGTAACATTCTGTTTTGTTTAATTTATTACTCACTGATAGTTGTAGTTATCGAAGTTGTGGTACTTTATATTAATAAAAAAAATTAAATTTATAGGTGGGTGTTGTACTCCTCTAATATCCTCACCCTCAACCACACCTCACAGTCACACCCACTCCCTACATTTTACTTTTATAAATAAGACTAAGTTCATTCTGATGTGAAAAGACTTTATTGTTAACAACATAAGTTATTCGTCACATGCTGTCTTCAAATAAATTACATGTCTTTTGTTAGTTGGATCAGCTTCAACCTTTTCTACATACAACATGAAACCAACACTCAATAAAAATTCTTCTTCATCTTGTATATGCGAGATATCAGAGATACCTCTTCCATGGATAGACCTCTTAGAAGGCAGTTTGATGATACACAGTGTATTACCAGTAAACGCTTCAGCCACTTCAAGGTTTTTTGTAATAGACGTAAATGCTGGCCAACTAATTTCTTCATTTATCGCTTCCTTATACTCAGTGATCATGTAATCTTTCAGGGTCATGCCACGGTAAACAACTTGTTCTTCGGTCAGTGTGATTGCATGACTTATATATGCATTGATTAAGTAACAAAGTGGACCCAAAGTTGTGATTTTACTCATATCATTTTCCCTAAGTGTTGTATTTAATACGTTGTAAAGAAACGTGTCTTTTGAATACAGTTTCACAGCACATTTGCTCATTTTTTGCATATCATCTCCACATTGAATCAGTTCCTGGGCCATTTCTTGAGCAACATTCTCTTTATTTACCAGTTTACCTTCTTCAATAATACCTATACAGAAAAATGAAATAACTTTTGAATCTTTCAATGAAGATCAAATTTCAGTGTATCCGTACCTTGAGCTGCAACTTTGCCTACTTCTAATGTTTTCTTCAACAGACTAATGTTCCGCGTGTGCCACCCTGACCACAAGGGACAACCATAAACTGATTCGATAGAAAATGACCTGATTGCTCTAATCGAATATGAGAATCGATCTTGTCTGATGTAATGAATGTTGTCTCCCATAACGAATGAGGTTGTGTAGCAAGTTTGGTAAGTAATCTGCACTTGATGATAAAAGTGAAATATAATGCAGTTACTTTTCTCTTCTGCCACGCAATTATTTCGTGTTTGCTTGCGAAAAAAAGAACACAGAGGGAGAAGGAAAGTTTTGGTTATTCTTATCTGGCATATTTTATTTATCTTTCACGAATATACATGCTTCATTGTGAAATGTATGTAGATGTAATAACAAAAAAAACTGAAGATATTCTTATTAACGATCAAGTTTCATTTCTATTCAAACTAAAATCGAACAGATCATATTGGTGTTTCCTTAAAAAGTAAACATACTGTTCTTCTCAAATATTCATCCGATTTTGAGTTCTTGCCGCTCGTGCATGTTATTTGTTTTCTATAATTGATTTTATTTCTTTTGTTTTTCTTATAACTTTTGATAACGAGCCAAAGGAAGATGACGATCGGAGATTACTCCTGTTAGTTATCAAAATCTGGTTGACTCACTGACAACAATCCCAACAAGAACTATAGAAAGCAAAGAAAGAAAAGTATTCTATCAAAATCCAGAAACGTTTTTGTCATTATTCAATACAATTCATACTTTTATTAATCCACCTGACGAAATAAATATTTCATAATAATTCAAATTATCTTCTGGCATGTTTTTCCTAAAAATTTCAATTATTTATAGATGAATTTAAGTGAACTAGTTTTTGATTGTTATGAATTAATGATGGTTCGTACAGCTGGTGGCATTGTCTAAAATACACACCTTCGATTCTTTTTCCTTTCTTATATGTTAAATAGTTAATTGTAGAAAGTGCTGATAAAACATTTTCCTTAACAAATTTAAAACTGAATTGAGAATTACGTTTACATATGTTCAACTATATCTCATCAAATGAATTTATTGTAAACCATAATAAGATTGTTTGAATTTTACAAGAATATGGAATGACATTCATTGAATCAGCTAGAACATATTTGATTCGTACATCTACATTATTATAAGTTTAAAATCACGTATCAGTTGACAAATCTCGCTATTAAAAATTATATTAGTAGCTAGGGCATCAAGATTCAATCAATCATTTCGATTTCTTTTTCTATTAAATTTTTCAATTTAAGATTAGTCATACTAATCTAAATAAATACAATAGTCCTACGCAAAAAGAAACAAATATATTTTGCACTTTGTAATGTAATAGATTATCCAATATGTATAAACATATTTGTATGTGTTGAATCAATACATATATATCTATCTATATATAATAGTTAAAAGTACAAGTTAGCTTTATTGTCTTGATAATTACATATTTATAAATGAAGAGGTTGATCGTCTACAACACCTAACTATATAAGAACAATAACAAAAATAAACTTTTTTCTTCATTTCAATTTCGACAATGACAAAAATTATTTCAGTAATTATTGCAACAGTAATTCTTCATATTACAATTGATCATTGTCAAGCATGGGATAAATCAGGTTAGAATTACTTTTATACAAGTTTTTTATAATATATTTTCTAATTAAGATTCTAAAGGAAATCAAACAAGAACATATCCAGTAAAAGTCAATAAATCAACAATTAATAACAATCGTCATCAATATCGTATTCGTCGTCAACAAGGAGAACCCTCATCTAATTCTGATACAGCTGCAGCAGTTCTTTCAATTCTTCCATTAGATCGTATTGGTACTATTGTTGGTCAAATAATGGCAACTGGTCTTAAAGAAATGCTTAGTCCAGATGTTGGAAAAAAAATTGTTAATGTTTTAGAAAATCAAGCACCATTATTAGTAACATCACTATTTAGCAATCTATTAGGTACTTTAAGTGGTCCAGTACGATCAACATCAACAAAAACAAATGTAACAACATCATCAATATCATTGAATAATAATGCTATTAAACAGTTAACTAATGTTTCAACATCAGAAATTATCAATGCCATACGACAACCAGGAAGAAAATAAGATGTATACATATTAATCGCGCTTTCTTAAATATCTTTACAAATAAAGATAAGATAAAAAAAATAATAAAACTATTACAATTTAGTTATCAAGTGTATATGTCACTTTTTTTCCTGTTCTCTTGTCTCTATATATATATATTGACCTTATATATGAATGCTCGAGGCAATAGTCATGTTTTATTTAGTATCTCATCTTTTTTTTTCTATAATTACAATCTTCATAAGACATAACAAGCATTCCTAACAACGATGTGTCAATAAAAAAAAGAAGCTGATTATACAATTTGTTAAATAATACAATGTGAATATCACGCCTGCTTGTCAATCGAATTTCATAAGTATCTATAAACAATCTATTTGTTCATCTTAATAGATAAAAGACATAGTATAGATCAAACGAATAGTTTTTTTTCTAAATAGAATAATGATTTATTTTTGACATCTAATATTCGATTGGTTAATTATTTAACGCATACTAGAATGAGTATGTATGTCATTCGACTAGTTCTCTTCATTCTTTTATTCTATTTGCTTCCTGATACTATACACATTCTCTACTCATATTTCGATACGATTCTATTAGAAATACTATTTGAATTCGATTTTAAAAAGATTAGAATACCTTGAGAGGCAAGTATATCATTTTGTAAAGAAACGCATTGTACATGTTATTTAACTTCGTTATCAGTCACTACATTGTCTAATTCACATGAATTTAAAAGAGAAGAAAATCAAGGCCGAGCACGAATGAAAAAAAAAATAATCTTTCGAATAGATAAGCATTCTTTTCAAATTCAAATATTTGATATTAATACATAAATTCATCTTTAACATCATCTATTATTATAAGATATTTCTGTTTTTATTTTTTCACTTATACAATATAAAGAAGAAAAAAAATGGCTGCTTTCCAATTTCTTCTAGCTAAAGAAAACATCGTGAAATTTGTTCGCTTGCACTGACGCTTTTCAATTCACAGTTTATGCTCGTCGTCGTCATTCTATGCCCGTCGTTTTCTCTCGACTATATGGAGAAAATCTATTGTTTGCCATATATTCTAACCGTGTAACGTCATCATTGTCGACTAACATAAGAACGATGGATTGGTGGAAAATAAAGAAGAACGAACGAAGATTTTTTCTCTCTCTCTCTCATTATGCTACATGACTATGTGCCAAGGAACGGCGGCAGCAGTAAAAGGACACGCACACATAGCTTCATATAAAAGGAACGAGCTAAACGAGGACAGACGACGACGTCGTACACACATATATACACTCGGCAATCGCTGCAAGAAAAGAAAAGAGAAGAAATAGCTGCTTGTCATATTCTCTCTCTTTGGGCCTATGTCGACTTGATTCTTCCATCTATCCTCGCACATTTACACTACTATTTCTTTCTATCAAATACCTAAACTTAATCAATGGCTGATTCAACTGATGCATTATCTTCACCGACTGTAACTGCTACTAAAGGTAAATAAGAGTTTTTCTATTATTATTCTATTTGTTATTGTTATTTTGGTGTTCTTATTTCTAGGCACAAAACGTGAAGCTGATTTAGATGATATAAGTCCAACAAAATTAAAAGCTTTAAAAGCTTCACGTAATGGAAGAAATGGTGATGGACCAGTCGACGATGACTCATCGAATCATAAAAATGGTGATGAACATTTACATGATGATGACGACGATGAAGATGATGATGTATGTCTTAAAAAATTAAGTTTTTCAAATTAAATAAGAATATGTAATTTTTTATTATTCAATATTTATAGGTAGCCGGTGGTGATCAAGAAGGTGATGATTTCGATGAAGAAGATGGTTCTGAAGATGATTATGACGAAGATGATACTGGAGAAAATGGTGAAGATGATGAAGGTAATTGAATTTTATAGAAGAAATAATTTTCAATATGAAAAAATTAAATTATTTATTCTAGGTGATTCTAAAGCATCTGCTGGTAAATCAAATCCTCGAAGAGCTGCTGCTGCTGCTGCAGCATCAGGTGCCAATGAAAGTGGCGATGATGAAGAAGATGATGAAGAGGATGATGAACAAGAATAATAAATAAGAAAAATCTTCAGATATATATATATATATTCTATTTGCTTTTTTTTGTCATGATTGGAAAAAGAGAACTAAACAAGATCTTTCTTTCTGTTGTTTTCATTCGTACATTCACACATTGAAACTTTATTGTTGTTCTTATTTCTTCTTGATGTTGTTATTGTTGTATATTTCTTTTTGTGTGCCGGTTGTGTCTACTTTTCTGTTTTGCGATTGCACAAGCTTCGCACAAAATTCATTCATTCATTTCTTTTTTTGACAAGAATATAGAGACAAAGAAAAAACAATGTTATCAGACATATACTGATGTAAGATATTTGAACATGTTTTGAATTATAAGAGATATATTAATGATAAGAATGGGGGATTTGGAATATTATGATGCATTTTTAAGTTGATAATGTTGAATTACAATTCATTGTTAATGATATATGTCTGGAGAAAGAATACAAAGATATATATATATTCTATTTTAAAGATGTCACTGGAAGCAATTGATGTAAGAGAATAGAAAAAGTCAGATAACGTCTTCTTTGTTGGATCGAGTATATTGATAAAATGCCGTCTTTATTTGGAATGCAGATATGAGAAATATTAGTAGTGATCTAAGATAAGGGAATTAGATCATTTCACGTACGTCTTCCATTGTCTCTTGTTCATTTCAATAAAGAAAGCGTTGAAAAAATAATGTATTGAAAATGAGTACGGATAATAGCATATTTACTATGTCATCATATATTTCTTAGAATAACGATAAAAAAAACTAGTTTGTGACTTTATTTTAATCAACAGAAAAGAGCAAATCTGTTAATTGCATACATTTAAATATTTATTTCCGTTTAGAATAATGAATAAGAGAGAGTGATCTTTTTTGACTACAATTCTATTCAGTCAGAATAGTTCTCATATTAAAATTATCGATATGTCGATTTAATCAAAAGTAAAAAGATTTATCAATGCAAGATCTCTGTAGCATTTAAGGTTTAGACCATTAGATTCTTTTGATCATGTTTGAAGAAACATTAAATCATGAAAATGTTGACAAATATGAGATCATTAGTAATTGATGATCTATGTTGAAGTCTGTATAGAGTTTATATGTTCAATATAATCATATGAAGTTATTATAGGTTTAGTTACTAGATGTGAAAATTTATATGTTTATCATAATTATTTATTCTTTTATCTTGTATTTTATCGAGTTTGTGATAAAATATGTCGTGCACAGTTATGTAGAACGTCATCTTTTCTTTCTTTTCTTTTCTCTAGTTCTATAAGTTGTAAAGACCTTTAAATTTGTCTGTTTTTTTTCTATCTTTACACTGACTTGACAAAAACTAAATATGACGAATATATTACGAGCATTTGGTTCCGATAATTATGCTGGAGTTTTACCTGAAATCATGTCGGCATTAGCAAAAGAAGGTTTATCGAAAACACATGCACGTGCTTATGGGTCTGATGATGTTTCACATGAAGCACGTCTTTTAATAAAACAAAAATTTAATTCTTCTTCAAATGATTCATCACCTGGTGTTTATTTTGTTTTTAATGGAACTGGTGCTAATATATTATCTATACTTGCTTGTACACGTTCATATAATGCTGTTATTTGTTCGGATGTTTCTCATATATATTGTGACGAATCATCTTCACCAGAAACAGTCACTGGTGTACGATTAATAGCAATACCAGCTACTGAAAATGGTAAAATAGATATTAATCAAATTGAAGAAAAACTAGATAGACTTGGTGATATGCATGGTGCTCAACCAAAAATGTTATCAATTGCACAACCAACCGAATACGGAACAGTTTATACAATCGATGAATTAAAACAATTATCTGTATTAGCAAAAAAATATAAATTATATTTTCGTAAATCATTTTTTATTATTAATTCATTGATAGATTAAATTAATTTTAGATATGGATGGTGCACGATTATTCAATGCTGTTTCAGCATTGAACTGCAGTCTATCTGATATAACAACATCTGTTGGCGTTGATATTCTATCATTAGGTGGCACAAAAGTAAATAGATTTGATGAATGAAAAAGAATTCATTAATATTACCTTTTTTTCATCTAGGCTGGTTTAATGTATGGTGAAGCTGTTGTTGTTTTTAATGAATCATTACTTGAAAATGATATTGATGGAGATAATCCATTAAAATATTGTCATAAACAAGTCATGCAATTAGCATCTAAACAACGTTTTATAGCTGTTCAGTTTTTAACTTTACTTCAAAATGATTTATGGAAAAAATCTAGTGAACATTCAAATTCCATGGCACAATTATTTAAAAAACGTCTTGAATCAATTCCAAAGAAAAATGATAAACAATTAATACGTATAACAAAACCGGTTGAAACAAACGCTATCTTTGTTGAGATACCTCAAGATTGGTATGAACCATTATCTACAGCATTTCCTTTTTATATATGGAGAAAAAAATCTTTTGAAGTAAGATTAATGTGTTCATTTGATACAACAGAAGATGATATCGAACAGTTTATGAATATAATTAATGAACTTATTCAAAAATAAATTTGTTACCGACTTTATAAAAGTTCATTTTAACATTATCAAATAAAAAATGAATAAATAATAATAATCTTGTATCCCCACACTCGAATAATAAAATAATATTTAAAATTAAGAAATATATATATTTAACCATATACAAAGATAAAATTTCACAGAAAAAAATTTTTTTTTTCTTAAACATATTTAACTAAACTACACACATTGGCTAATCACAAAAGTATTCATAATATTCAATTAACTCATATAATATAATCAGATAATATATATATATTTTTTTTCAAATATTAGAAAAACAAACAAAAAAAAAGAAAAAAAAGGAAGAACTTTCACACGATCAATTAGAAATTTTTTTCAGCTACCACATTGGACAAAATACACACATAGATTTCATATGAGTAAAAAAAGAAAGAAGAGTAACAATACAGACATGCATACATATATAGATGAAACAAAAACCGAACAAAGAAAACATTCTCTATTAAAATAAGATAAAAAGAAAAACAAAAGACACGTTAGAAGTTGATTTATTATTAGTATTAGTATTATTGCACGTGTCTTAACCATGAAAAAAAAACGAAACAAAAATGCAGAAGATAATAATTAGGAAGATTTTTCATATCTTTTGTGTATTAATACCAAAAGAATATCTGATTTTACTAGAAAACAGCACCTATTAGTAAAGATGTATTAATTGATGTAATTAGTTTTTCTTTTCGAGATTAACGAAAGACAAATGGTATTAAACAAAAACAAAAATAACGGTAAACTAAATTGCTTGTTCTTGATTTAAATTCTCATGTAATTGATGTTGTTCATTGTTATTAGGTGTTGATGATATTTTACCACATCGAAATAATTTACCAAATCTAATTATAGAAAATAGAAATAATTACAAAAAGAACAAATTTTGAATATCTTACGGTATATCACCAAATTTATCGATTGGTCCAAGAAATGAAAGTAATGGTAGGAAGAACCAAGTAGCATATAACCAACTAACAAACATAATTAACATAAGAAAAAAACCCATTTGTGAAAAAGATGTTAATTTGCTTGGTGCCATTGATAAACCAGCAAGAAACGATGTTAAACTAGCTATAAATACTGCTGAACCAACACGAATAAGACTATTTTTAATTCGACGAAAACGTTGTAAATTTCCTCGTGCATGCCAAGCTTGAATGCGTGCAAATAAGGATTTCTTTTTTGGTACTTGATTTTGATTAGGAGATACTTGTTCTAGCAAAGATTGATCTGTAGCATTTCCATTATCTAAATGAAGTGATTTTAAAGCAATTGATGTTCGTCGAATATGAGCTTGATTTCTTTTCCAATCAGCTTTAATATAAGCAACACCATAATGTACAGCTAAGAAATTAAAATGAATAAAAACAAAATCAAAAGAAAAATTTTCTATCTTACTAAAATCTACACTAAGACCAACACTCATTATAATAATAATTGTTTCAAGAATACTTAATTCCCAACCATATAATACAAATATACCAACTGTATCAGCTATGATAAATATAATTGTTAAAATAGCATATAATGTTATAACAATATTCCCAGAAGTTAATAAAAGTACAACAAAAGCAAATAACATGGAAAATATTAATGATGTATATGTACCACGAATAACTTCACGCATTAAATCATAAAATAAAAATTGAGGTGAAACAAACCAACTAAAATAGAAAATAATCAATTTTTTTTCACGTCTCTTCGAGATAAACACTGCGGCTGATTTTTTTACACGTTCGTGTTATGACCTGTAAGGTCATAGGTTATTCCTCCTTTCACCTTGTACATATCTTTTCTCTCTTGACGTTATCTTTCTGGAACTTATGAGAGGATTCTCACTCTGTCTTGCTCATATATATATATTCTCATTACGATGTCTTACAAGCTCACAGTTTGTGTTTCATTCTACATTAGGTGACTTCAATTTGACTTACCCATGTTTAACTTGTTCATAAACATGTCCATCTGGACCTTCGGATAGTTTTAATTGTTCTAAACGTTGATCAAAGTAATGATGTAATTTTCCATAATATGCATCTTGAACTGAATATGCATCAAATGTTACATTCATATTAACAAGAAATAAAAGAGCACGTAAATCATGTGTTTTACCATCCGGTAAAAATCCGAGACGAAAATCATCATTTGCACGATCACCTGATACTTGATTAGATGCACTAAAAAATTTAAATAAGCGATTCATTGCAAGAACAGTATCATTTCGTGTTGCTGGAATAAAAAATTCGTTTTCATTATATGATGAATCACCTCTGGAATTAGGATTTAAAAATCCATGTAATAAATGACCTGAAAATAAATATAAAATTCAGAATAAAATCAAAACAAAATTTTTTGCCTCTTACCAATTGTTAACCATTGTGAATATGTTTGTTCGACATTAACAAATAATTCACTCCGATTGAGATCTTTTAAAAATGAATCAAACCAACGTAATGTTTCTGGTTCATAAAAATCAATTTTATTATTATAAATCATTGTTTCATTAGTAATTGAACTTTTGCGATCGGGATAAAATGGATGTACTAAATCAGTATCTTCAACACCAAATACAAATATTAATAATGGATTAGTAACATTATCTTTATCTTCGTTAATATATGATAAAAATTCATCACGCATTTGATATTCAAAACGTTCAAATGGATGTGATAATTGAAAAAATTGATAACGACGAGATTTTGGTGGAGATAATTTTGGATGATGAAATACAACCACTAAACCAATTACACCAAGAATGAAAAAAATTATTATTAATATATAACGAAGTTTTATAATTAAACGTGGAATATAAACAGTAAATATAGCATGACTAAGACGTGTTAATGTTAACATAATTTTATCAAATAATTCAGGAAAATGATTAAATATACCAAGACGATTAGATAAGGGTTCACAAAATTTTTCATAGATTATTACAAATGATACAATCATTGTTATATTCATAAGAAAATTAAATAATATGCAAAGTCCCTATGAATAAAAAAAATAAAATTAAAGAGTGTATTAATAGATGAAACCTCTCGAAACTACAGTAATAATTTTTGATGTTTATTTAACCGTAGGTAACAATTTTATTGTATTACTTAAAATATGCTTTCATTTATTTCTGTTTCATTAGATCATATCCTATTATAAATTGAATAGAATTCCTGAGTGAACTTTCACTAGAAAAATACCTCAACAGAATGATTGTCTATTTATTCGATCGGTCTTTTGTAAAAACTTACCATAAATAAACCAAATAATTGTACATAAGCAATTCGTGATATCATATTAGTAAAAAATGCTGCTGATGTTGTAAAACTTGTAACAAAAACACTAGCTGCTGCATGTCTTAAAACTCCTTCCATCATTTGTATCATTTGTTCATCATTAACTTTCATTATTCTTACTAAATCTGTATTTTTAATTAAATCAAAATGTTCTTCTTCTCCGCCTTCATTTGATGGATGATGATTAGGATCATCTCTTGCTATTAAACGTTGTCGGATAACCGATGCTGTAAATTCTCGATCACGACGATATTGTTTTTCTTGTTTATCTGTTAATTTTCCATAAAATTCTACTTGACGATTTTTTAAACGTGCTTCATTATAAATATCTAATTTTTCTGAATACCATGCATCAAATATAACAAATACATTATCACATGATATGCCAATTAATATAAACGATGACATTAAATTAATATATGGAAATAATTCAATACCTAATATGATTTTATATGCAAAATATGCACAAGCAAATGATAAAATAACACATATATTTGTCATTAATGCAACTGTTATTGAACGAAGATAAATTACTGTTACCTTAAAAGAAAATCAATGATATATATATATTCTAAATTCATTTTATTTTAAACTTACTGCAACAATTAATGAAATAGCTAAAATAACGAAAAACATATCAACACGAATTTGTTTCATTGCTGCTGGAATTCGAATATCCAAAAAATTTAATGCAGATATTCGAGTTAATCCATCATCAAATTTTGGATTTTTATAAAAATGTTGAATAAATAAATCATATGCAGTCTCTGATGTATGAGTATCAGTTCCATTTTCTGTTTTTATTGGTTTAGTAGGTTTTAAGAACCACATAGCTGTAAAACGTGTTTCATTTGTTGATAAAAATGTTTTATCTACTAAATATTCTAATGTTAAAAATGTAAAGTTATTAAAAAAACACGAATCATATTGAAATAATTCCAATGGCTTCTCACGATAACGTTTTAAACCAGCTGTACGTATAAGACCTGTATCATATAATGCATGGCAACGTTGCATACGATTAATAAATCTTTTTATATCATTTTGTGTTAGCTCTTGACAATCAGTTTTATTTGAAAAATAAGCAATCATTTCTGGTAATGTATAATGACATGTTGAATGTAATTCAAATAAATTAACAAGTTCTTTTTGTTTTTTACATAATGATAAAAGATTCTCAAGTGTTAATAAATTTCGAGATGATTCAACACTTGATTCAAAATAGACTTCGTAATGACGATCTTAAAAAAATATGTATATATATGATGAAAAAAATCTTTTCATATGTGTACATACTTAAATCAATTGAAGTGCACATATGTTCATTTGGTTTGTTAAGTTGTTTTTCAATTGTTTTAGATATTTTCATAAAATCACGACGATTTTTTAATAATCGAGATACTTGTTTATTACTTAAACACTTAGTTTGACTTGATGATTTAAAAGCACAGTCATTTTGATAAATTTTATAATCTTCTAGAAAAGTTGCTATACTCGACGGTTTATCATAATCACTATCATCATCTTCTTCTTCGTCATCATTATCAAATTGATTGGAAGAAATATTTTGTTGTGTTACCGATAATATGTTACTTTTACTTGTTAGTCGTGCAGCAGCCATTTGTCTATCGAGTTCATTTTTAATTTTTTCTAATACAAATAAACGTGACGTTAATGTTTGTTTGCCACGTGGAATAAAACCCTAAAAAAGAAATTATCAATTTTATTTTTTCTAAAGAAGAAAAATTTCATTTTACTTTTGTTGGATCATTAAAATCTGGTAAATCTCGTAGTAATACTGCTGCTAAACCAAGAGCAATACATATTGATGATCCAAGTAATAAAAAGCACCATGAATATTTAACCACAAAAGTTGAATACCTATTTTAAATTAAGTTAGAATATAGATGAAAACATAAATTATTACTTCTATACCAACCAATTTATAATTTTCTCAATATAATGCCCTACCCATAAAACTATCGCTTCCTCACAGTCCCAATAACTCATGTTAAATGACAAAATATTTTTCTTTTTGTCATTTTGTTATTGTCTCAATCACGCGATTTCTTTATTAGGCAGTTAGGTACGAAAATAAACAGATTATCAAACAAAACGAACCTTCATGGTTGAATGATTTAGTTTTTTTTTGATGAGTATAACAATAGATTATTAAGGAAGAAAAGTAGACATGTATAAATATAAACAAAATGATAAATATCAATATTGTATATATGCAATATTACACATAGTTTATTTGTTAGTTTTAGCATGCTCTCAATAACCGAAGTTAGAGTTAAGTAAAATTGGTTTATTATGTTAAAATGAGTAATTTTATATATAATAAATCTACCTGATATTTTATCAGAATTACCATCTCTTCTTATTAGAAATTGTATATGCATCACATGTCTGATAGAATAGAGAGAAATTAAATAATTACATAATCATATTTAGTATTATTATAATTTTATAATTTCTTTTTTTGTTCTTTTTACTAAAGAATAATTTAATTAATAAATATTCTTACTTTTTATAAAAATATGCTCCTGCATCATACATATTGATAACTGTTTAATAAAAAAATTATAATTGAATATTATCAAGTAACATAAAGGAAGACAAAAAGGTAAGGAAAAGAAAACAATAGACACAAGACAATAATAGCAGATCTAGAATAGATAAAATAATGATGATGAATAACATGTGCTTGACAAGTGGAATTGTATAACAAGCTCGATTTTCAATTTACTAACGAGATGCACCATCTTTCAAATCACAGGAGAGAAAAGAAATATAATGATTGTATGCGTATACTATTCTCTTAAGAGAAAAAATAGCAACTAGAAGAAAGGAATAAGACAGAATTTAGGAAAAAAAACAGATATAAATACGTCTGTATATATCTACGCATGTGGAAAGAAAAAGAAAGTGGGCAATAAAAAAATATCTATGATAAATGACATTGTTTATTCATTGTTTTATTTATAGAAAGAAAAGTAGGCTAGTCGACTGAACGTTTACCTATTCTTTTTTCGATAAAATACTTAACTAAATAACTAAAAATAAAAAGAACTATATTGTTCGTTAAAACTAATACTTAAGTAAGAAAAAATATTCTGAAAAAAGTATAGTGCCGACGAAAGAATAAATGATTCAATCATCGCCATTACCTTCTTAATGGTATACATCAAATAGAATGCATACTACTTGAAGGCGTACGAACTAAAAACATGAGATTATTTCTGTTATGATTACTGTCGTTGTTATCTATGCCTTTATTCATTCCATAATAGTTTAATCAATGAAAAAAAAGCCTTCTTATGTTCCCTAGATTTGTATTCTATATAAATATAAAACATCTCAAGGACTTTTATATGATTTAAGAACAATAATAAAAATACATCTTTTGATCGGATGATCAAAAATGGGGTGATTTATATTGACAAGCACAACAGCAAACGAGACAAGACATTGAAAAATAAATTTTAAACAATTATTGGATATAATTTAACCATTCTTATCTTAAAATATGAACCTCACTAGAAATTAAAAACTAAATTATTTTCAACAAAAATTTACGATTAAATAATTCATAAATATTTCTTTTTCATAAACTTTACACTCGAAAAAAACAACTATTAGACAAGATGTCGCCCATATACTACATACCGACGACACCAACAAGGTCGAGTAACTAAATTGGTAACAATAGATGAAGCAATTGAACTAATTGTAGTCGTACGATGACGATGATGAGGTTGTTTTTGTGGTACGTAGTCTAAAAAAACGAAATAAATATTTTTCTTAACAATCAAAATTCAATTGTATAGATATATAGATTATACAGCTGATAAAATGAAAAATTACTTCACATTATTCATATAATATTACCTAAAGCATTGTATACACGATCATCGTCAGTATCACTATTGATATGTTCATGTTGGTTCGTGGTGGTGGTGTTGGTAGACATTTGCTAGAAATAATAAAAGTCAAATATTATCATAGATATTGAAAAAATATTAAGAAAATAAATAAACGCGCTATTGTGGTCTGTTTTATGTACTTTCGTCTTTACCATAACTAGGAGAGAATAAAAGATAAGAGCTCTTTCACATTGTTGCGTTCTTGTATGACTAATATCATCATCAACAGCAGCAAGACCATCATAACCAACAACTTTTCATTTGAGATTGTCAGTGTGTTGTTTTTCACACTTTCTTCTTTCTTTTTTTGCTTATTGAGAATATCAACTAAAAAGAAAAATATGTAATTTATTATTATGTCATATAGATAAACTTAAGATTTTATAATATATCCTTATGATGCATCAAAAACAAAATTATTTACAATATAATAAAGTAACATTTTTTAATACAAATTAAATTTTGATTGTTAATTAAGAAAAATAATTAATTTAATATCTGTTTATTTTGTTTTGAAATATAAGAATTGGAATAATTACTTGTTATTATTTCTTAATTTCTTAATTATAATGAATTCTTGAACCATTTAAATAATAAAAACTAATGGAAAATATCACGCCATACTGTATAGTTCTTACCAAGGACAATATTACTAATATCTTATCTGGCTGGTATACAACTGTCTCTTTCTTTCTATATACGTGAGAAAAGAAACGTACAACTTCCCTTCCTCTTCTTCTTTTTTTCTTCTAGCGATAGTTTGTTTTGGCTTCTAATATACAACCGAACATTGTTAATCAATATAAATATTCGAAATTTAATATTATCATATTAACCCTTGATGTTTCTAAAAAAAGAAATAAATTCATTGAATATTTGTAGGATATCAAATATATATTATAACAACAATATAAACAACTATTAATTTATATATTTCATATTTATAATAGATAAATATACTAAATAATCTGCTTGTAAAACCATATGACAATATAAATAAATCATCGTTGTAAAGGTACTCTTGAACAACAAAATACCAATATTATCTTATCATTATATATTATATTTGTTATCAGAAAAGCGTATATGCATTTGTTTATGTCATCAATATAGGTATATAATATATAAAATGTCGCCGTCAGCTGACACTATAGGTCTATACCATATTATATTCATAGAATGTAAATATCTTACATACGAAGTAACTCTGCATATGTCCAAATCGAACGATCAAAAAACATATCAATTAATCAATAGATAGATATATATATAAGACATTTTCTTTCAGTCTACAATTAACACATCTGTAAAATTATGAGAAAATATTCAATGATATTTTACTCTATTTACTTTTCTTATTGACTACTACAGGCTTCTAAATGATATTGGCTATATGTAAATCTTCATCTAACAGTTGGCTCTATGTAAATGTAATCGAGTAGAATAGATTAGTTGTTATTTATTGGCAAAAATATATCGATAGACTTTGTGTATATTCTGTCTTTTTTGTATAGCTATTTCATATATGGAATTTTTTGATTGACAATACTTATTCAATATGAAATTGTTAATGTTACAAATATCATGTTCGTTTTTTATTTAATCAGATTGATAAAAGTGGACTATAAGAGCTAAATGTTTTATCATATTTTAATCAAACCAGAAAATAACAAGTACTAATCATATGAGACTGATTGATATGCTTGACATAAGAAAAATATTTATATAGTAAATACGCGAAATGCCGTTAAATAATGACATCTACATGGTTATGATTTTAATCTTTCTCAGGTTTTTCCAGCATATATATACGTCTTCTTCTTCTTCTTTCTATGTCATACAAGCATTTGAATATTTTATACTTTTGAAAGGTTGCAAAGTTATGATTTGATCTATTTTCGAAAAAAATATTTCCTTAAATGTCAATATGTATAACTTTTGATATAACAAGACAACTGCTGACAAGATTCTATTACATAAAATAAAAACAAGCTAATCAAATATTCGTTATTATAGATATAAGAATGAAACTAGAACTTTCCCATGACAACTATCATACGTAACTATGTTATCTCTCTCTCTCTCTCTCTCTTTCCTCTTATATGGTAAATAGACAGCAAGCTTGGCGACGTCATAAGAAAAGGAAATTAAAACATCATTGATGCATCGCATCTCATCCCATTTTACAGGTAGTAGTAAAACATTGCATTAGAAAAGACGAGAGAGAGGGAGAGAGAGAGAAAAAAGGATCTTCTTCTTCTTCATCTTCTAAGAAAAAGAAGAAACAGCAAATAAGAAAAAAAACTGAATCTTTTGAATAAGAAGACAAAAGAAGAAAACGAGAATATATATAGGTGTGTGCTGACGAAAGAACATCATCACGCACGACCAAGAATGTCAAACCGGAAAATCTTTTAGAAGTATGTGTCGCAATAGTTCATACAGATAGAATGGATAGATGTATATACGTTCTATGCTGTGCCTCTTTCTCTCTTCTTTTTTGTCCTTCATCTCATAAAAAAACACATAAAGAACGAGGGAAAAAAGGGATATTCGATAAAATGAATAATCATTATTTCTATTTTAATGTTGGACTCTTCATTTGTCACAAAAAAACAGTTGAAAAAGAAAACAAAATATAAATAAAGGAAAGATCATTATTCGTTTTAGATAGATATTCAAATGTTACAATCAAATATAGTTTATAATCGTCTTTAAAAATTAATTTTTTATTATTGTATGACTTAATTTATAATTAAATTAAAATACGATGACATCTCCATCGAATCGTCAACATCGACGTACTGCACCTTATGTTGTTATGAATAATCATACTCAACCACCAACAGTTGCCTATTCTGCTCGAGAAAAACAATCGAATAATACGGATAATGTTATTCAAACATTAGCAAATACACCACTTCAACAACCCGATGAACTTGATGTAGCATCTACAACTTTATTTGATCTTGTTCGAAGAGCTCAGGTTTGTTTCATATTTATTTTAGTTTTTGTTTTTCAAAACTCTTCTTTTCAGAATACATTAAATTTTGTAGGCGTAAGTAATTTTGCATGTTATTTATTGTAAATTGACTTATTGTATTATGTTTAAATAATAATTTATTGTAAATGATTTATTATTTCTTGCTTTTTTTTCTCTTTAAAATAGCGTATTCGAAGATGGATGCAAAAAAATCATCGACGTCAAGTTATACCACAACGAACAGATTCATTTCTTGAAAAATTTGCACCATCATCAAAAAATAAATTAGTTCAAGATGAAAATAGGTTAACTTTTTCAATTATTTATTGTTCATCTATATATTATATTTCAAATGAATTTTTTAGTAAAAATTGGGTAGTAGATCCGTCACAATCATTTTATTATTATTGGTCATCAATTGTTTCACTTGCTGTTCTTTATAATTATACAATACTTATTGGTCGTAGTGCTTTTCTTCTTCTTCAACAACGTCTTTTAATTGTTTGGTTAATTTTTGATTATCTTTGTGATGTTTGTTATATTATTGATACATTCATACATACAAGAAAAGGTTTTCTTATTAAAAATAAAATTTATTTTTATCTATTCATTTATTATATTTAGGTTATCTTGAACAAGGTCTTATTGTTCGTGATATCGGTAAATTACGTAAACATTATATGCAAAGTCGTGCATTTCTACTCGATATAATATCATTATTACCAACTGATTTTCTATATTTTATTCCAAAACTTTATCTATTACCAGCTGTACGTTTTAATCGTTTACTACGTATTTATCGTACATTTGAATTTTCCGATAAAGTTGAAACACAAACAAATCATCCAAATGTTTTTCGTCTTGTTTCATTATTAATTACTATTCTTATAATTATTCACTGGAATGCCTGTTTTTACTTTATAATTAGTCGATGGATTGGTTATTCAAGCGATGGATGGGTATATAATATGACGACACCCACAGCATCAACATTAACAACACAATATTTATATTGTTTCTTTTGGTCAACACTAGTACTAACGAATATTGGAGAAGTACCACCACCAGAAACTGACGTAAGTTTAATATATATACAGATAATGTCAGTTGAATGTACCTTCTTGATAAATACGCACAGATGTAAAATTTTTGTTTACAATAAAGTCTGATCCTTCAGGTTATGGACTTTGATATCGAAACTTAAATGTTCAACTAGTGCGTGTTAAATTGTAATATAATTCTTATCAGAACGTGAAATGAGCTTAGCATGCAATAGTAGTGAACTATTTAAAAGCATCAGGCGGCAGATTTTTTTGTATCATTATATAATTTAAACATACTCATCCTTTTTTTGTTTATGTAACTATTTAGATTGAAGTTCTTTTCGTTACTGCTGATTTTCTAACAGGTGTACTTATATTTGCTACGAGTAAGTTCTATTAGATATTTAGATATACATGTAAAAAATAAGTTTAATTTATAGTTGTTGGAAATGTGGGTTCAATTATTGCCAGTATGAATGCTGTTCGAGCTGATTTTCGTCAAAAAGTTGATCAAGTTAAACAATATATGGTATTTCGAAAAGTTGGAAAAGATCTTGAACGACGTGTTATTACTTGGTTTGATTATTTATGGTTACAAAAACAAGTTGCTAATGAAGATCAGGTTTTAGGTAATGAAATAACAAAAAATATTTCTTTTGAAAAAAATAATATTATCTATCTATTCAATTTCAAAGGTTCATTACCACAAAAATTACGTGTTGAAATTGCTATACATGTTCATTTAGCAGCATTAAAACGTGTTCCAATTTTTGCTGAAGCTCAACCAGGTTTACTTGTTGAACTTGTAACAAGACTTAAATTACAAATCTTTAGTCCAGGAGATTATGTTTGTAGGAAAGGTAATGTTTTCTTTTTTTGTTATTTTCAAGTTGAATTAAAATATTCTTCTAGGTGATATTGGTAAAGAAATGTATATAATAAAACGTGGTCGATTAAGTGTTGTATCTGATGATGGTACAAAAGTATTTGTTACACTTGAAGAAGGAAGTGTTTTTGGTGAAATTTCTATTTTAAATATTCCTGGTTAGAATTCTCATTGTTTTGTTTTTTGGTTTTTAAATATTATTTTTAGGAAGTAAAACTGGTAATCGTCGTACAGCAAATATTCGAAGTGTTGGTTATTCAGATTTATTTTGTTTAACAAAACAAGATTTATGGGAAGTATTAGCAGAATATCCGTCAGCACGTGAAACACTAATTGAACGTGGTAAAGCACATTTACGTAAAGATAATTTATTAGATGAAGAAGCCGCACAAACAGCACAAGAAGATGAAGCAGCTATACCTGAAAAAGTGACTCGATTAGAAGGAAATATTGATAATTTAGAAACACGTTTAGCACGTCTTATGGGTGAATATTCAGCAAATATGGCATCACTTGGTCAACGTTTACAAACAGTTGAAAAATTAGCTGATACAAAACGAACGACAACAACTGATGATATACCAAGTCGAAAAAATACACTTGATATTAGTGGTATTGAAACGCATGAAGATGATGTTTAAGAAAATTTTCTATGTATAATATGTGTTTATTTATTTCTATTTTCTCCCTTTTTGTATGATATTTCAGAAGTAAGATGAATCTTATTTAAGAAAGTTAGTTTAAATGAATTATAAATAAGTTTCAGAATTTAGTTATATAAATTTATAAGATAAAAAAATAAGTAAATATGATATTTTATCATATAACTCATCAAAAAAAAACAACATAACCTACCGCTTCAATCATACACTTCAAAAATGCAATTGATACGCATAAAGTATTTACACAGTATGTGATCTTAATCCCTATGTGCCGATCATACTTTCCCACATACAGATAGTAATCATAATGTTATTTTTTAATATTTCGGGAAAAAAATGTGCATCACGACAAAGATAAAACATGAGTCTACATAAATATAGACATATAGATTTCTTTTTTTTATATTCATATCGAATTAACAATTCAGTTGAATAATTATTCTATAGGTTTTAATTAGTATAGAGTATCCAATCTATATAAAATACTTTCGCACATCTAATTGGCACTGACTTATATGGTATGTGTCAGGTGTGACATTTTTATTACAATCATATTGATGTTTATAATTGGATGGATTCTTTACGAACAATTCACACATACGGTATATATCAAAAAATGCCAAAAGACCACTATATATATGTATATTGAGCGTAGTCGTTCTGTCTTCTTTCAAGTCTTCCATTTCGTTAATTGGAATAGAGATAAAATGAATTAAACAATATGCCAATCGTTTATTTCGAACTTTATTGTTTATATGCATACGAAGTAAAAAAAGAAGGAAGAAATTGTTGAAGGACTGACCGTTTATCCTTTTCTTCTTTTAGAAAAAGAAGGAGAAAGAGATTCGTTCTCCTTCTCTCTCACACATATACACTCTCTCTCTCTCTCTGTCTTACTCTCTTTTATATCTATTGTTCGTACGGACGAGCGATAGAAAGAGAAATATACATACATAGTCATTCATTTCAAATCTTTCACATACTTTTTTTCCTGTTATCGTCATTAAGAAAATGGACAACGTTGTACTAACATCTGCATCGCAAATAAGTCCCAATTCAGGTAATCCGCTTAGTTCTCAAACGGTTCCACCAATAGCTTCTGACTCAACAACAATTGAAGCACTTCTTGGAAATCCATTAGAACCACCACCAACAGTTGACGAAACAAAAGTCGATGGAAATTTTCAAACACATCTAGATGTTAATTATCAAGCGCATGATGTAGCTTTAGCAACAGCAAAAGCTAATGGACATGAACAAACGAATGGTTTAAAACTTGGTGCACCTCATCAAATGGAAATAGATGATGGTTATGATCATCTAGATAAAACTAAATCATGCTGTTCAATGCTTAACAAATTATTTCTTGCATTGGCTATTGTTTGTTTTGCACTATTTCTTTGTAGTATTGCATTTATTGTTGCCAATCTCGACGGCGTAAGTTTACTCAAAATATTATTGTTTATTTGAGATTGAGAGTAGATGAAATTTTTTATTTATACAGTATGTATAGAAGAGATTCATGAATGAACCAATTATCTATATGGATATATTGTCAACACAAAAAGCTATTTCAAGGACAAACATACCTTTGTAATTAAAGAATATGTGAGAAAGATATAAGACTCATTTATTATCTTTTCTTTATCAAATATGTCAGAGATATACGTATATACATCTATCTGAATTTTTTTATCAATATCTGTATATATATATATATATTCTAGAGTTGATTTACAGATAAGATGTTAGAAATGACAGAGAAGAATGAGATATTCATTAAGTAAATTAAGATTGAGATCTATTCATTAGCTTCGTCAATCCTGTAATAATGGACTCAGCGCACAAGAGGAAACTATATTATTTTAATGAACTTTTTTTTTTATAAGATACTACATGCTCTGAGATAATGTTCAAAGTGGAGAATATATATGCAATCTATATCTTTTGTTGAATATCATACGATACAATCTTAAGACAAACGTTATCTTTTTTAAAATGCATATTAGATAAACTTGAATTTATTAGAAAATTTTAATCTTATTAAATATTAATTTTAGTTAAATGGTAAACAAAATTTACATAGTCCATCTCGACTAGCATATCCATATCAAACTGGCGAGCCATTTACTTCATCGGATAAATTAATCAATAAACCCTATTTTAATTTAACACATCCAAATCGAGGAGGTATTACTGTTATATTATCACGTCGTGGTGCATCTGTTAATGATATATTAATTCCATATATTGATAATAATGGTCGAAAACAAAATCGTTCAATTATTTTTAAGAATACAAATGAAAATCATTTTGGTTCAATACGTTTTGGTTTTGATGAAGAAATCAATTCATTCAATATGACAAATCAATTACCATTAAATTATCCATTTTTAAATTCATATAATGAAGATTGGTCAATGTATGGTGATATAAATAAACCTTATCGTGTTCGTTTTGTAAATGGTTTAATTGAAGTTATTTATGAATTTTCATCATCGAATATCAATGAATTTATGATGACAACTATTGTATCAGCTGCATTAAATGAACAGATGATTGCTGATCCAACAAATAATATTTATTTTAATTTACGTGGCTATGGAAATTTGAGTACAGTAAGAGAAAATAAATGTTGGAAATTATTACGAAAATTTTTTTTTTCTTTATAAATTTAGCATCATTTAAATCTTAGTGCATCGACACCAATCAATATAAAAACGAATGAACAAATTCAACAAAATCAATTAATACAAGGACAATATGTTGATCAATTAACAAATATTAATCATAATTTTTATAAATTTGATCGAGCTGGAATTGGAAAAAATTATATTGCAACGTATGTTTTATTCAATGAAATTTTTTTGTATTTCAATATTTATTGATTTCTTTTCTATTGTAGTTTAACAGAAAAGGAAACTAAAACAATTATGAATATTTTTGCTGATCATTCTGGTGTTATTATTGATCCATTCGGTGTTGAATCATCAAATCATAGTATGTATGGTATTCGTATTAGTCCAAGACAATCACCTGTTTATCAACCTATGGTAAAAAATATAGAGATTATTATTGAAAAGAAATTTATTTATATTTTGTTCTAGTCAATCTATGGTCCAACTTTAGTTGTTCATCCATCTCAAGCTATACATACAACATGGTGGCAATTTGAATATTAATAATAATAAAAAAAAAACATTGAAATTTTTCTATTTTTTCCAACAATAAGTAATATGAAATGTTTGTATACTAATCATATGTATGTTTAGTTGTCTGTTATCTTATTAAATTAGCTTTTTTGTTAATAATAGTTCTTATTACTGTTAATTATTGTTGGTTTAATAAACGAATGTTTATGTACTTGTCTTTAAATAGTTTATTTTCTTTATCGGTCTCATTTTGAACACACGTAGAAAAGAAAATGAGTATCAAAAGAATTTATTCAACTATCATGTTATTAGAAATAACCAAAAAAAGTATCAATGGAATTATATTTCAATCTTTTTTTTTCAATGAATGAAGAACAATTCACATTTAATCAAATGTATCAGATTTTTTAGTTCATAGTAACATTAACATTAATGCCTGAATAATTGCTGAGAGATATTATCATCGAATGTCCGAATCATCAGTAAAGTAATTTATCATATTGTTTCTAATAGGTTTTTCAAGAGTTATATTAATTGTAATACTATCGAGACATTTGACATATATTTAGTGTATGAGAATGTTCGATTTATGGAGTTGGTGCTTGAAATGCTTTGTCAGTCCTGAGTATTTCTAGATTAACTTCTGATATGAATGGGATGGAGGTCTATGGTTTGAACAGAACTCCCGAATTTTGCCGATACTGAAAGTCCACTGTTCTTTCGCCAACACACCTTACGGAATTTCACTAATTGGCGAAAGCCCAGTGCACTTTCGCCAACATACTTATCGGAAATTCGCTAGTGTCGTTATGCAATTACATATGTATAAAAATAGCTCCTGGTAATTATATTAAGGTGCTTAGACTATAATATGCGTATTCTAATAATATTAGGTTAATTTGTCACATGTATTTTACACTAATCTTATGTTATCACAGTTGGCGAAGGAACAGTAAGACGTTTGAACCATCTTAAAAAAATAATGAAACTGTATTGAATCATACAAATAATGTTGCTTTACCAATATGTTAGGATTTAAATATTCAAAATTATTCGAGAATAGCTAACTAAAGGTATATCAATTATTTTACTGTGATAACTAATAATGAGAAATAGCCATTTTACTGAATGTCTTCTGTCTTTTTTCTGAAACCTTCACTTTGCGGATGTTTTCCGACGTGTGGTCATTTTCGTCTCTCTCCCGGATTCTACTTTGCGGACAGATTGCACTAATTAACCCAAAAAAGTGTCTGCAATCAAGAGATAGTTTATTATCCATAACAATAAGGTATAGAAAAAAGAAATTACATATCTCTCTTTCTATAATTTCAGTCATAGGATAAGTATATCATTCTGTAGGATAATGCGATTCTTCTAGATTTGATTATATTATTTTCGCATGATTCCAATGTATATATACAAGCACAAAGAAAAACGAGTTGAGTTTTTCACATATATGTGAATGATTATAGAATAAAAAACAACAAAAGAAGCAAACAACAAAAAGATAATCGTGCATGAAAAAATAACCAGTGGACAATGAATGGATGATAGAAATGTATAAAATTTCGTTAAAGGTTTTTCATTATTTGATCTGTTTTATTTGTTCACTGTTCTTATTATGAATCAATCTTTCTTTTTGTTTATCTCTATAAATGATCAATAATGTTCAGATTGAATTCCTTTTTTTTTTCGTTGAAAATTTTGTTATTGATAAGAAAACAAAACAAAAGAAAGTTGAAAAATGAAAATAGACTATTTTTTTTACTACCACATAGACAAACGGGATGAAACATATTCAATGGTGGAAGACACATCACAAACGATTAGAAAAAAAATGGTTTAATGGAGAGAGAGAGAAAAAAAAACAAACAAAAAAAAATGTAAAAGTAAAACAGAAGTAACCACCATAAAAATGTATACAAAGAAAAGTTTATTTGTTATGTGAGTAGATTTAGCTCTTCTTTTTCAAATCTTTGTCAGTAATGTTCTTAACTGAAGTTTTTGTCGGAGTTGATGTTGTTTCTTCTTCATCTTCACGTGTATCTTCTAATCCATTTGCCGTTCCTGATAATACTCGATAAAGTAGTTGAAGAATGAACTAAAAGAAAGAAACAGATTTATGAAAATTCGAAATCATTTAATATAATATTTACATAGAGCCAATAGATATTAAGACCAAGTAAAATCCATAAAAGTGAATTAAAAAATCCATATAAACCGCAACCTCTACCATAAGCTCGATATGCAGTAACAACACCCGTGGAATATAAAACTTTTATTGGATACCAATAAAGACGAAATAAAAACCTAATTAAAATATTTGAATTATAAATAAATAATTTAACAACAACAAAAAAAAATAATAATATAAGATTACAAATGAACATGCTAAATATTACTAGAAGTAGAGATCAAGTATAATCTAATTATTGTATATATCGCGTGAGAAATATGTAGAATGTATACAAGTAGGACAAAAAATGTACCTTGTATTTTTAAAACGACTATCATCACCTTGAGATGATGAGTCATGTGTTTAGAAAGTATTTCGAGGACAGATTTATTTCTTTAATATGTAAAAGTGAGTTACACCATATAACTACAGGTGTTTCATTGTTCTTAAAGAACGATACGGATCGATTGATTCCTTCTGAATGCATCATTGCATTTTCGATCAGAAAAATTTGTAAACCTGAGAGATTTTCTTTTCGAGAATAGAATATATCTCCTAGGATATCAATTTGTTACGTTTATTCCGAGGAATATATATACATGTTCTGTTGTTAACTAGGTGATGAAATAATTATATTGTATTTCTTACACATCTCGAACGACTACTGCGTTATTCCCTAGTCATTATCATTTTAGTGTACTCCATTGTTTTCTTTTCATCAAGGGTGGTCAATATAATGAGTTGGTACTCATCTATCTTTTCGTTGTTTGGTCAGTTCACATATCTTCTATCATATGCATGATGTCCAGTTACTGAATTTTTTATAAAGAATTCAGCTGATCAATTTGTAATCTTATATACATATATATTTTACTTTTCCATACCAACTTAACAAAAACATAACAAAACATCCAGTTGCAGCCGTTTCCCAACGTGGACATTCTCGACCACCTTTCCGTAATGATAGATAATGTAATGCTTTTGCTAATTCAAGCCAAATATCTGTTATATCATGTACAAAAAGTACAAGTAAACCAACTTTGTGATAACTATAAAACAAAAAAATGAATTAACAAATAATTTTATTTTATAATATATCTTACCGTGTTGCATAAGAAACAAAGATAAGTGTCATTGTTAATACATGATGTAAAAGCATAGCATAAAAATCTTTTCGTTTATAATCCATATAAAGTGTTCCATAAATGGAATGTAAATAGAATCCACATTGAACAAAATACATTACTTCTATATCAAATGGAACATTCATACCAGGTGCCCAATCTAATTAATAATATTAATAAATAAATTAAAAGAAAAATTTTGATTCTCTACTTACCATCCCAGATAAGATAAGGTTGATGAAAATAATTATAACGATAATGTAATAAGTAAACATTAAAAACCCATGTACAGGTATAAAATAAACATTTCCATGCTGATTCAGGAAATTTATGTTTATTTAATGGCGTTAAATCAAGCCAATTAACAAGTGGCTAAAATACAAAAAAATATATAATAAAGACATAAATAATAATTAATATAAAAAATAAACAAACTTTGCAAACAAATTTTTCGAAGAAATAACGTAGAAATGTTATTGCTATAGCTATATAAATAATATAATAAACTTGATTTAATGGAAAGTAAAAATATCGTAAAAATTCATTTATAAATGATTGTGGAAAAACATAACCATGCCACATATGTGGAGCATAATACCATGATATTGTATTCCAAATTCCTTTAACAATATCAATATAATTTGGTGTCAATGTAATATTTCCTTTTAAATCTTTCCAATTTTCCAATTGTTCAGAAGTTAAATAAGGATGAACCATTATTCGTCTATTAAATATCGTTTAACAACAAAAAGAAAACTAAATATACTTAAAATAACATTGATCGTCAATATTCATTTAATGATGAATGACAAGAAAAGTTCGATCTTAACATTGTTAAAACATGACACCTAAAAAAAACAATAATGTAACTATGTGTGTAATATTGTATACTTGTTCAACTGATAAGAAACAAAAAAAGGCAAAGATATTCGCGAGTAAACTATACTCGACGTTTTTATATGTTTTTTTCTGTTCTTCTTTTTCTTCTTCTTTTTTTTTAATCTAATAATTTTCGCCCAAGACTATGTTTACAACTAGACTAGAGAAGGATTGAGAAAAGAGAGAAGAAAAAAAAAACGAGACGACAAGCAATGAAAAGCCATGTTGAAAATAAATGATTCATCCGAAGAAAAGGAATCCACAGTAACAATAATAACAAGGAGATTGTGTAGGAGAGAAATTGCATAGATATAGGCGCTTTTTATTTACCAATCAGAAAAGAATACACAATCCTTTGTTAAATACAAATTATCTATGCATTAAATTCTTATGCAAAAATTAAATCTTAACTTGTTAAATAATCAAACGAAGAAAAGATTTCACTTATTGACATCATATTGATATTGTTAATGTTGCTTGACAACGTCAAATTTCATACTATTTGCTTAGTTATTACACACTTTCTTTTCTTTCCTTTTCGTATGTATTATTCAACTGATTTCCCGTCTGACTCACATATTTTCATACAAATGAATAATAGCATTTCTCTGGACAAAACTACTAAGTTGATTTCTAGTAATAATTGACCTATAGCAGCACGTATTAATAGTAGGGACAATATAGAAACAAAAAGTACATTCATGTCTTACCTTTTTTTTGCTTTGATATATTAGTAATAGTATGCTTTTCTTTTGTATTCTACATAATATACAAATTACTCAAGCGAAAACTTTTCTTTTTCAAAATGTAAATACTCTTAAAAAAATTAGTTTTTATATTTGTTAATTATAATTGCTGTACATGATTTGTTTTTTGTTGCATAAAAAATTTTAAACATATTTTACAAGTTTCGCGATATTATTATCTATTATAATCGATTAAACTACTTGAGTTTGACTAATGAGTGTATATACAGATGTCATATGGACAATTTCATCAACGATAATACCGCTAAAAGTTCAATGATCAATTTTTAATGTTCATTTGCATTTGTTTTTACTCGAATGAAATATTAATAATTTTGAACATAAATGTAAAATATGTTTATTTCTATATAGTAAAAATAATTTGATCATATACAGAAATATGTTTATCAAAAGTTGAAGATACATGTATTTAATCTTATTGATTCATCAAAAACTCGATGAGGATTTAATACGAGTATACTGTTTTTTAGTAAATATATAAACACATGTAATATTCATTGATTTCTTACAAATATCGAACAATTTTCATAGAACTGATATTATACCAGAGAGTGAAAACGAACCGGACTCAAACTTGGTTTCAGGAAATAAAGTCAAACCAAACCGAACTCGAATCAGTAAAAGCCGGTTCGATTTGCTTTCTGTAGTATACATGTAATTAATATATTTTACTACGAAATACAATAGTTTGAACCATATTGTGACAAAAATTTGTTATTAATCGTATAATCAAAGACTATAGGAAAATTAAAAGTTTTATATAGTTTTTACATGTATGTATAGATGTACCATATCTGCATGATATTGAAAGAATTTCTGTAATATTCTCGTAATGAATCGTTTGTTACGTATCAGTTGGTGAAACTTTTATCATCATAATATTTATTAGCATTGATCTTGTTGATAAATTTAGCAATTTCTCTACAACAGTTTGAATTATTTTCTTAGCCCATAAGCGTTCTTGAAATAGTTGGATTTACTTTGAAGAAATCAATGTTTTCAAGAGATTTCAGATTTAATTCTTGCAATCATATGAACTACAATTGAATGAATACGGATTATTACTGTATCAACTAATATTATTCTAGCTTATTGCTTTTAAATGTAGTATATACTTTCTTTTTTACGCATAATATTGAAGAAATATTTATTATAGAAAATGAATGACAGATAAAACACATTCATTTCTTTTAAATCCTATAATATGATTTTTCATATGTATTACGTATGCTTGTAATAAAATTTTGACTATTTTCAATTGTAATGTTATGTACAATAATCGGCTTGTTTTTAACGTCGGACGCAGTGGGTGACGATTCGGCGGCCACCACCTCCTGGCGATTCTTTGTTCTCAGAAAAAAGCGTTCAAAAAGATGTGATGGTACTTTGAATATGACTAAAGCCTCCTACGACAAACTGTCACCTCTTCACTGATTTTCTGAATCCGTCACTGGTTGTTTTGAATATTGTACTATCAGTACAAATATACTGTATATATTTTTCAAAAACTCTATGAATTCTATGTTTAATACATAACACTAATGAATAAAAATATAAAATATACTAATATATTGCTTATCTTCTATCATTTAATTATAAACTATTTTAAGTATTAAACGTATATTTATATCTAATAGTCATTGGTTTAATTACTGTTATAGATTCACGTGTAGATAGATTTCATATTATTGATTTATTTAGTATAAAAAAATTTGAAATACACTGAGGACATACAAACTATTCTTAACATTGAATCACAAGTTTATTAATGAAACTTAAGTGTAATGAAATTTTATATAATAATATCGAAATAAATTATGGCACATAGTATTACTAGATATAGATTTATTAGTATAACTTATTATATAGAGTATTACTTATAATATTATTCCATAGGATCAATACTTTTATCAAGTTATTTGATAATTCTCTTCCAATAAATTTTAGTGTTTTCAATTATCAAACTTGATATAATATATTAACATGTATAATGATAAGAAAAAACGTTCTCATCAAATTCTTTGTTCCTAGATTTCGTATAAATAGATTAACAAGAAACTATCTAATTATTATTTTCATTATTTAATGCTTATGTTCATTCCATCTTATTTTATTTCTCAAGTATGTTATTAATATTTTCATTATCTCAATCTTTACATTTATTTATTGATCTCTTCTTTTTTTTTCTTAGGCATTGGTTATAGCAGTAGCATATAGATAAACATAGTTTGCGTCTTCTTTTTCTGCATTTCTTTTCTTTTCCTATCGTCTTCTTTCTTGGCATACAAGTACATTTCTTTTCCATGCTTAAAGTTTGCAAGTATATAGCATTAGACCATCGATGAACAAGGCAAAAAAGAAATCGACGAATCATAAATAAGAAAAGAATATGTAAACCGGGCATGGCGCCAAAGTAGAGGATAAGATAGGATGAGAAAACCACGAACGATTGCAAACTATATATACAACGAACAATATAATAATGTTAAATAATCTAATATCCGAAAAAAACGAGCATATGAAAGATAGTATATTCTCTTTTTGACAATACAAACAACAAATACTTGTTAACTTCAAATACAATATATAGTGATTAGTTTCATAAAAAAAATTCTTTTTCATATATATATGATGCATTTAAATGATATATGGATATATGTTAAATTGACAATTAATTTTATCTATAAAACATATGATTTAAAATTTGACAAATTCTTTTCTTTAATTTCATTTATTGAATATTAAATTTATGCTCGTTTATCCACGCCATCTGCATGTATGAGTTCTACGTCGCTACTCTGTCTTACATTAGCAATGTACACATCTACATCGATTTTTCTCTTTTCTTTCTTTCTAAACAGCAACAAGAATTCTTCATCGTCAGCGAATAGTGCTCCATGTCCTCGTATTGATGGTGTGTTCTCTTTCCATCAACGCTCACTTGGTACGAACATATATGTATATATATATGTGAATAATGAATCGACAACGAGCATGCGTGGTCGATGCAAGAAAAAGAGGAAAAAAGTCAAACAAATCCGTTCGCATTTCGCCATCGAACAGAATGAGAAAAAAAATGGAGAAGAAGAAATAACATATAGCCTCGTATACACATATCAACTATAGTTGTGTTGTGTATGTATGTATGTATGTGTGTGTGTGTGCGCGCACGAACGAACAAGAAAGTAAGCTTTAACCAAGCAGCAAAAAAAGAAAGAGAACAAGAAGAAAAAAAGCAATATATAGTGCAGACAAAATGGTCGTCATCGACCGACCGAGCGACCGACAACGCGAAAGAGAAGAAAAAAAAGATGGTATGTATGTGTTTGGAGCTTCAATAAGAAGAGAACGAGAAAAAAAAGGAGAAGAAGGCTGTACCTATACTACCGCCATCACGCGAGTAAGCAGAAACGAACGATGGAAGAGTTTTCTCGTCAATACTGCGTGCTGTTGTGTTATTGTCGACGAGAACGAGGTGCGCTTACTGTCATCACCACCAACACCATCTTTCTTTTTTTTTTTTAATAAACATATTGCTTCTCGTATGTGAAAAACCAAATAGGAAAGAAGGAAAGAAGAAAAAAAAGGAGGAATTGTTGTAAACTATCTTGGCGCGTTTTTCTTCTCATGTTCACTCTGGTTTTTCCTTCTCTCTTTCTGTGTCGTCAACGGGAAAACAGCTCGAGAAATTGCGCGCGTTTGACAGTTTTCCTATTATCTATCTATCCACACAGATACACATTTGTTAATACATAGTCCTATTTATTAATATTATCACAATAATTAATTTCTAAATAAATCTTTTCTATCTTTAGATAATTTACTCGAATTATTTTTCTATTTTTATCTAAACAATATTCATCTTATTTAGTGGCAAGTGATTTTTTTTGACAAATATATATATATTAAAATAAAAGAAGTATGATATTATGTTAATTGTACGCATAAAGATCAATTAAAACTATGTAAGTCAATATCTCTGTTATTTGTTTTAATAAAATTAAACGAAAATATAGAACAAGATTATTAATGCGATTGAATGTGCGGTTTTTTTGACATGTACATATATATATATATATATATGTGTGTGTATATGTGTGTTCTTCATTTTTGACACTGTTTTTTGGCTATCATTCAAAAGTGTGTAAAGTCAATTACTACTGTAATGTACACATCATTCATTGAGTCTTGTCTTACGTCTATATGTTCTTCTTCTTCTTCTTAATAAAACTGTATTAAGTACGTATAAAGAAAGAGACAAGAGAAAGACAGATAGTAAAAAAACAGCTGATTGTCAAAATATATAGTTAGTCAAATCGATCAATAAGTACATGTGTATTTAATAAAAGAATAACATAAAGAGAATAAAAGAGAGAAATATTGATTTCAAAGTGCATTAACTAATAAGTATGTACTTGATAATATTTAAATACTTTTTATAGATCAATTGATGATGTGTGACAATCTTTCCTTGTACAAATCATTCGTTCCGTCAACGACAACAAATATACATCCTCAAATTCAAACTCAAACAACAACATCAACAATAAATTCACAATGTTTTCCCATACATGATGAAGATAATGAATACAGACCATATATGAGTGTCAAACGAAAACTGTCAGGTTTGTCTTAATCAAATAAAAAGACTAATTTAAATTATCATAAGTGATAAGCTAAGAGAAATTTGAATAGATGATATTAACTACATGACCTATAATGATTGACAAGTCAAATAGTACACTTAAATTTCTTTCGTATATTTTTAAAACTGGATCGATGCAATATTATTTTGATTAAATGTCTGTAAATCTCTTAGCATCACATTGAAAGTTCTGTTATCGGATAATCTCAATCGAGATTCGAGTGGATATGACGTCAGCTATTTGATAAGATTTCATCGGCCGTGTCTATATAGTTAGTAGCTTTAGTCAAGAGGAAAGAGCGTATTTCGGGATTCTTTAACATCCGTTTTGTTTAGTTAAACATAAAGAAAAAAAAAGGAAAAATCCTATTTATGATCGTTTTTTCTAATTCATTTTTGATTGCATTCAATAATAAACTGAACAATATTAAAAATATTTATCTTGTCTTAAAGAAAAAACAATGCAAAAGGTCTAGTCCGATTAGTTTTATTGAACAGCATTAAAATATCATATAACACGTTGTTTATACAAACATTTTCTACATACTCCGTTCTTGAATTCAATTTATTGATAAATTTTGTAATTTTTAGACTATGAAGATAATCATTCGTCAAAAGTAACACTTGATTATGTATCAACGTCTTTAAATTGTAATAATAGTGATGAATCTGATGATGATGATGACGACGACGAAGATGATGACGGAGATGATGTTGATAATAATGATGATGATGATGGTAGTTCTGGTGATGATGATGATGAAATAATAAGTGATGATGAATCGCATCGTGTACATTCAACAATAGCAACAACAACACCTTGTACGATAACTCAGCGACGTCACAGTGATACAATTTATACATCATATGGTACACCAATAGTTAAACGTCGTTGTACATATTCATCAATGCATGATGATGAACAAAAACGTTGTGTACTGGTTGAATCCTATCGTAAATTGCGTGGTGTTAAAAAACCTAAATTACAAGTTAGTTTACTAATATGTAATTTAATAAAACGATTAGAAAGAACTTTTACAAAAACTCCTCCACTAAGACAACAAGAACAAGAACAAGAACATATACAGTATTATCAACATCATCATCGAACAACATATCGTTCATCATCATCAGATAGTATTTATATGTCACCATTATCATCAACATTAGTAAATGATGAAATTGAAACAACACATCAACAGTATTCTAATTCACATTCATCTAATTATGATTCGGATAAAGTATTATTACCAGTTAATGATTTACGAACATCACCATCAATGTATCATCCATTATCGACCGATGCATATTGGCTTGCTCAATCAAATTTTGCAGTACCTGTTGTATCAACATCAGATGATGATGATGTTGATGTATCATTACATGGTGGTGGTGATTATCTTGATTTAAGTGACAATACTCTATCGTCTTCCTTTTCATCATGTTCTTCTTCTTCTTCATCTTCTTCGTCAAATGATTGTTGTTGTTCATCAACATCTTCTACAACACTAACGAAACATCTTGTTGACACAAATAATAATAATAATAATAATAACAACAATAATAATAATAATCATAACAATAATGATGGTTATTTTATTTATCATCATCATCATCATCATCATTCGTCATCATCAACCGGACAAACATTTTTCTATTCTCATAATGGAAATAATACCGTTGATATAATAACAACTGCATGACATGATTTTCTTACTCTATTTGTATCTCTTTGTTGTGCATCTATTTCTTATTTATGTATTTTTTTTTTGTTGCCATTGTCAAATGATAAATCTTCTCTCTTTTTTCTTCTTCATTACAAATTTACCAAAACAAACAAAGATACATGCGTATATGAATGTAAGACAAGAGTATTGTCTGTGGTATTGAACGGTTCGTTTTTCGTATATAAAACTTCTGTTTTTCATTTTGTTTGTTGATGTTGTTGTTTGTTCACTTCTTTTTTTTTCAATCTGTGCCTCTGGGTTTTGTTTTCCTTTTTTTCTTTTTTGTTTTACAATTCTCTTGAACTTCATTTTTTTTCTATGAAATTTCATGATGATGTTTAAAGGAAAAGAATGTGGAAAGAAAAAAAACAAAATACTTCAATATTAATATGATTTATCAAAGAGATCAGAGAATATTTGCGGAAAAAGTCATTCAATAGTAATACTTATGCTCGATGCACTTGTATTTGTCTGATGCTTTCAAACAAACTAATGAAGATTGTTGTAAAACATAAACCATTTCTAATATACATATGAAAAGGAAGATTAACATTACCTCTATAGAAGATTTGAACAAGAAAGGATATCGTACGATGAAATGATCTATAAGAAAAAAACTGTTAGTTTTTTTTGTAGCAATCGACTGAAAGCGCCATCGAATTTTTAGCATAAACTGTTTGTTAATTCGTCAGAACTTTATTGACAAAACTTCATTTCTTTCTTTCTTTCATCACTTTCTCCTTTTCAAACCTCCTTCATAAATTTTTTGTACATAATAAAAAAGAAATCGGAAGAAAATTTGTCAAAAAACAGACTAATAGTAATAATCAAAAAGAATTGTCTCGTCAAAGAGAAAAATTTATTCTTTGTCGATCGTAAACTTTATGAATCGAAATAAAAAATGTTTCTAGATATGTAAGTAAATATTCGTCAATATGTTATTTTATGGCTAATGGCCTCATCACATATATCAAATGAAATTCCAGTTGATTTACAGTCAGGCATAGATGCTGTGAAATGGCCCGAAGACTCAAAGAAACCTTCAGTAAATTAATACATACGTATATCAATAAAATCTGTATATATTTAATTTAGAATCCTAGTAATGTTCATTTATCAATAGATACAAAAGGTTTTTATTTAACCTGCCGTGATCAAAATACAAATGTATGTTGATATAAATTTTCTATAAAGAAAAATCTTATTAATTTATCGATTTTAAAGGGAATCGAATGTTTTGATATCACATTAATTCATGATGTTCGTACAGGTTCACAGAATTTACTTCCACGAGTATGATAAATCCAAAATTGTATAAGATATTTGGATGTTTTGATATTATTAGGGTGCTGAACAATGTAGAAAAGTTAATATAGGTACACTTGGTGATCCACTTCTATCAAAATGGCTTACAATTAATTATGGAGATACATTTGTTCCTTCGCCATATTTACGCACAATTCATTTTTCTTGTAAATCACGAAAGATTGCTGAAGTATAATAAATTATTTTCATGTTTCATTGATTTTTTTTCTATTTAATAGGAATGGACTAAACAATTATTTTACTATGGACATAATCAACGTTTAAGAAATCTATCTAGTTTAGAATGCTTAGAAAAATTTCATTCGAAAATTATTAATAGTTTAATTAATTTTGATACACAAACAATATCTGTTCGAAAGTATATCATCTTTTGTATATTATTTCTATTAATTATGTTATTATTTTTTATAGATTAATACAATTTTTATGTGACAATTCTCGTGATAATAATAAAGAAAACAAAATTCGTCAAACATTAGAATATTTAAAATTACCATATGGAATTGTACGTAAAGAAAATTTTCAAATAGATTTATTTAATTTCAATGAAATCTATTTTAGGATGCAACTATTGATAAAAATCAATTTACATTTGATATATTTTTTCGTTTCTATATGCGTTTGATGGATCGTCCAGAAACTGACGATTTATTTAAATTTATGTAAGGATTTATTTATGTAAAGATTAATTTGTCTTTTGTCACCACTGTTTTTTTGCTGATAATGCTGACTTGCAATATTTCAAATTCTGTATACCCCTTACTAAAAAAGTTTGATTCTGCAACTTTTTCATTTGCTGACAATAATCGAAATGTGCACAAAAGTTATTAGCGAGTGATTGCTCTAGTATATCAATAGTAAATTATATCGTTTATTTTCCAGACGGTAGCTATATATATGTATCTTTGAACGACCTAGAACTAAGAGAACATTTGGAACACCTTAATGCAAGAAAAACATAGAATGAATTACACTATAATACATTTCGGTTTTATACTTACCCTTTATTTTAATAAAATACTGATCGTTCATTTATTTTATTGATCACTGAAATGATAGCCCTATGCAATAGGTGTATCATCCTTACACTCTTATTTGTTATCTACAATTGTTGATTTTGCATGCATGTACTATCAAATGTATTTCGCTTAAATATTTTTTATTTTCTAAGTATCAGAATCCGTACGTCAGTCATTCTCTCTTAAGCTCACTATGAAGTTCTGACACTTCACAAAGTAATTCATCAGTCTTACCTATATTGAATGAAATCGTAATTGTTTCACTTCATTTATCAGTCAGTATAAAGATTGGATATTTTATTTTCTCATAGAGACAAAGATCATCACGGATATTTAAGTTTGGAAGATATGAAAGAATTTATTAAAAAACAAAATGATGCACCTAATGATCGTTCTGGGAGGAATAATTATGAACAACAAGCAGAAGATTTCATTAAAAAATATACGCGACATGAAGATTCTTCCAAAGAGATAGGTAATAGTTATCTATTTTTCTTTACTTGTTTACTATGAAATTATTTTTCTTTAGATAATTTACAAGGAATGTATTATGAATCATTTCTTAAATATTTACTTAGTTTCGATAATTTAATTATTGATCCAACAAAATTAAATCTTTTTATGGATATGGATAAACCTTTAGCACATTATTTTATCTCATCATCACATAATACCTATTTAGCAGGTTTATTTAATTATATTGATTTCTTGAATTACAAATTAAATAGTTTTTCTTTAGGATCTCAATGGACTGGACGTGCTAGTATTGATATGTATCGATATGTATTATTAACTGGCTGTCGATGTATTGAATTAGATGTAGTCGATGGTGAATCAAAAAATGATGAACCTGAAATAAAACATATATATACACCTGTTAAACCTGTACGTTTTATTGATGTTATTGTAGCTATTCGAGAATATGCTTTTAAAGTTACTCCATATCCATTAATACTTTCAATTGAAAATCATTGTGGGTAAGTAAAAAGAATAGACATATAAAAAAAGAACATATAACACCATTTTTTTTCTTCTTCTTCAATGTGTAGTCCTAAAGCACAAGCTAAAATGGCTCAATATTTTGTTGATATATTTGGTGCTCAACTCTTAACTGAACCACTTAAAAGTCATCCATGTGATGGACATTATCCATTACCAAGTCCAAATGATCTTAAATATAAAATTTTAATTAAAAATAAAAAACTTCATCAACATTCATCATCAAAAATAAATAATCAAAATACTCCAATAATACATAAAGTTATAACACCTAGTAATAGTGATCCAAGTACTGATACAAGTACAGCTTCATCATCTTCTACACGATCATCAAATGACTCATTACGATTAAATCCTCGTAATGGTATTCTTTTAGAAGATGAGAATTTATCTGATGAAGAAAGAATAATGAATGAACTCGATCCAACTAATGAGCCAATACCTGAATCAAAAGCAACAAAAGCAATGTCTGATCTTGTTCATTATACAGTTCCTGTACGTTTTGCAACATTTGTACGAGCACAAGAACTGAATAGAAGTTATGAAATGTCCTCATTTTCTGAGGATAAAGGTCAAAATGCAATTCGTGATTATGCAAATGATTTTCTTATCTATAATCAACGACAATTAAGTCGAATATATCCACGTGGTACTCGTTTTGATTCAAGTAATTATAATCCATATATATTTTGGCCAATTGGATGTCAAATGGTTGCATTAAATTATCAAACATTAGGTAATAATGGAAAAAAAGAGAACCTTAAATTATTTATCTTGCTAATACTATTCGTATTATAGATATTCCAATGCAACTTAATTTAGGTTTATTTTCATTTAATGATGCTTGTGGTTATATAGAAAAGCCATCAGTATTATGTGATCCACGACAATTATTTGATCCAAGAATTCGAAAAAATATTGAAAATGTTGTTAGTTGTGAAGTTCATATAAAAGTTTTATCTGGTCAATTTTTTTGTCAAAGTCGTGAACCAGCATATGTTGATATTCATATGTATGGAATGTATGGTGATACAAGTAAACGACATGAACGTCGTATACTTGTTAAACAATGGAATGGTTTTCAAGCTATTTATGGTAATACAAATCTTAATTCGAATGCATTAACTACTAAATTTTTAAATATTATTTTACCTGAAATGGCTTCACTTCGTTTTGCTGTTTCGGCAGATGATGGAACATTTATTGGACAATGTTTTATACCTGTTGCTTATTTACGTCCTGGTTATCATCATATTCCATTACGAAATAAAATAAATATTCTTACTTGTACATCAAGTTTATTTATATTTATTGAGAAGAAGATTTATGTTAATGATAAAGATCAAGAATTTGTTAATCGTCTTATTAATCCATTACAAAGTCAATCTCATAATTTAAATACTGAAGATAATGATCAAGATATTATTTCTTTAAATCGTGTTACACAATCTCATAATTCTATAATAAAGGAATTAGAAGAAAATATTAGACCAACAAATCCATCTATGTTATTCGATAAAACAAATTGGTATCAAACACATGCAATTGCTGGAAGTGCTTTCCATAATAGAAATTGTTTTTGTAGAATACGTTCTGTGAATGATATCAAACCAGAAGAAGTTCTCGAACGAAATCGAATGATTGAAAGCAAATTACAACAGATTTCAATTGATTATCAAAAGGTAATTTCTACGAGTTTTACTCTTCCCATAAAGTTATAGTACTTATGATTGTATCCATGTAACTAATAATGAAAGGTCCTCAGATGTTCAAGCCGTTTAGACTCCATCTTTTGACCACTCATAGATCTCAATGAGGTATGATTATTGATTGTCAAAAATGAAGCCTAAACGGCTTGAACATCTGAGTATCTTCCCTCGTAGATAATGTATCAATTGATCATAAAAATACAAACTTATGTTCGAGTAAACGTATTGTACTAGTCTTAAAAAAAGAGATTTCAGGTATCTCTATGCTTCATAATCGAATTTGTCATGATCTTCCTTTCTCAACATACTTAAATATTGATTAAATGATAAATATCACAATCTATACTTTGATTAAATAAATATTTTTTCTTCTCTTTTATTTTTTTTATAGAAAATCCAAAAAGAAGACAGTAATTTTCGAAAATATCTCAGTATTCAACAAGATGGATCAGATTCTTCTCATAGCAAATCAAAATCAAGCAATAATTCAAACAATAAAAAAGTTCTTTATCAATTGAAATCATTTAATCTATATTTCTTTTATATAGGATCTTGATCAATCTAAACAAGCTTTAATTCATCTTTATACAAAAAAATTTCAGAAACAACAATATTTAGAATATGAACTTATAACACAAGTTCGTTGTTTTCGAAGTATTAAATCTAAATTAATGTATCGATTATCCTTTAGTATTATAATGAATTCGAAACAAAAATTCAAAAGGATTTTAAGGCACAATTATCTAACATTGGTATCACTCTTGAAAAGTAAATCTAGGCTAGAAGAAGAATTTCATTGTATATATCAATTGAATTTTTAGTGAAAAATCTTTAGTTGAAGATAGTGCTAAATCGCAAATAAAACAAGAAGCAAATCAAATAAACCAAGCTGAAACAAATAAGTAAATATATTTAATAAAATAATATTTAGTTAAATAATTTTGTACTTTCTAGAAATCGAATTTCTCTATTAACAGATAGAAGTTTGCAAACGAATGCACAAATTGTTAGATCAACTATGAACACGGTTTATATATATTATTGTTATTTGTTAATATAAATTAATTTATTTTTCTTTTTTAGTTAGAGAAAATGTCTGAACAAGTAAAAGAAGTACTTCAAATAAATTTACGCATCAGTCTCCATCAACTTGAAGAAAGAAAACGCATGGTTAGAAATAAAATTTGTTTCATTTATTAACAATTAACAAAACTCCATTTTTAGGAAATAGAAAAATGTCTTGAGAAGTATTCGAGTCAGTTTAATGACTTAGAAAATCGATTACAACGTCTTATACATAATGATGAATATAATATTTCACAAAACAATTCACCATTATTATATGATACAAGAATGACAAGTGCTTCGTTATCCAATGTTTATCCTTATTCTCCATCAGAAAATCTTACAACAAGTCAACTACAAAGACGACAAACAACGGATTGATAGTGTCATCTTAATATTTCTATGAGTAGATTATTGTTTTGAACAAACAAATATCGTGATGTATTTATTTTCTAGATCTGTCACTATTGAACTATGTATAATAATAAAAATTTATTTTTGCACAGATATAGTTTAATGTTATATTTATTATCATACACTCATATATAGAAGTTGTTATCATCACTACAGAATTCAAAGGAGAAAAAGCGGATCCTGGTTACTGACAGGTTCTAGGGTAGATCTTTTAGTTTGTTGGAATTCCCAAAAACCTACTGCACCAATCCTATCTCTGTGAAATTTGTTGTGGGATTAAAGTGTTCTTGGAAAAATAGACTTCTTCTAGTGGAAAAAACATGCTGGTAAATTTTTCTGGCACATTATTCGCGGACGCATTCATAACTGCCAGACTATAACTATGAGGGGTCTTGTTGATTCTCGCAGTTCCTAGAATCCATCAGGAACTGCTCTTCCCCCTTCTATGTAATTACAAGGTAAAGGAAAATAAGAAAGAATGTTAACAATTATGATGATAGAAGAAATGTCTATGTCACACATGTGACGTATTCACAATCAGACAACATCTACTCGTAATTGTTATGACATTTAGTAATAACGATGGTTATAAATAAAAATTCTTACATCATTCAAGAAATGACGTATACAATATGATATATGATCTATATTGAGGCTTAATTGATGAACATACTGTATTTCGTATACTTGTTTAGTAAAGATAATCATACAGAGAATTAGCAAAACAGTATAAATCTGAATATTCGATTAGAATTTTTTTAATTGAGATAATGATTGAAATATTTAAATGATAGTAACCAAAAAATTTCTCAATGAACTATAATATCGTGTCATGAATTCATAGAATTATTTGCTTATGACTGCTAAACAAGAAAGAATTAAATCAGCTATTTATTTAGATAAAAGACTAGAGTGATACTGGAAACTAATTAAAACTCATGTTTCTTATTAATTTCATCATAAGATTTTAGAGTATTATCCATATCTCTCTTTAAGTATTTTATCGCATTAATTCTCTATTATATGAGAATATATTACTAACTACATTTTAATATTGACAAATAAAAATATATATTTATGAATTTCAAAAATTCTCTTAAATATTATATAACAACTGTATTAATTAAAAATATTAGTTTATGAAATTAAAGAAGAATCTGTAAATAACGCAATGAAATTTATTTTTTTGGTGTCCAACTTTGAAAAGAATAATAATCGATTTGTTCTTGTTCTTTTTGTTGTTTTGCTGCTATAACTTCATTATATATTTGTAATTCATGTCGAAGTCTTTTTATTGGATCAGTTGGAATATTTTGTTTTGGTTGATTAATTTTTTCCAATGTTAGTTTATCTTTCAGTAAATCATAATTAACTTGATATTCTTTAAGATGTGTATTCATTTTTGTTAAATGTTGTTTTAGCTTAGAATTTTCTTCTTGATATTGATGATTAGTTAAAGTTGCTAGACGAAGTTGTTCATTTAATTTTCTATTTTCATTATAAACATGTAATAAACGTTCATGTTCATTGTGAAGAACATTTTCTCGACGTTGACATTCAGAACATGATTCTTGAGATTTAGGACTTAGATTTACTTTTGAATGAATATTTTTATTTGATGGAACAGATTGAGTTTTTGATGGTGGTCGAATTTCATAAGTTACAAATGTACTACTACGTCTACGATGAGGTCCTTCGGGAGTTGATGAACCTAGGAAAACTATGAAAAAAGAACAAAATTAAATAAATGAAAAAAATGAAAAAAAACGTTTTTACCATCATCATCCGAATTATCTGATAGAGCTAATTCATCGGACGAAAGACTCATTGGAGTTGGTTGATATAGTCGAAGTTTATTTTTAACATGATCCGAAAGTTGAATAGTTTGTTTATGATGTTCCATTACATTTCAATTATAAAGATTGATTATACTTAGATTTTGTTTAAAGTTAATATATAAAAAAAGAAAAGAAATAAAAGAAAACTAATGTCTCGTTTTCCTTTTTCTTCTTTGAAAAGAATGTTATATTTTATTTTCTATTCTTATCTTGTTCTTTTTCTTTCTATGTCCGCAAGTTAGTTTTTCTATTAGAATATTTTACAGATGATACACATTTGAAAGACGAGAATTTTTCAATTATGTTACTTATGATATTGAAGTTTTCCTTTTTCTTTTATTACGATAGAAAGTGTCATATATGAGAGTTAATAGGATATGAAAGAAAAAATAGCAAAGATAGATTTTAGTTTTCATTATAGAAGACTGATAATTATAAATTACTTTTTTTTAGAAGATTTCCTTAAAACATAAACTAGCTTTTTTTCATAAAAATCTATTAAATATTAAAAATATATAAATATGTATGTCTTCCTTGTCTACTATGTCAAAAAGAAATAAAAATAAATATTACACATAATGTAATGTTCTCTTCCGTTCATGGCAGATGTGCAATTAAATTAGATGAATGGTTTTAATCAATTCTACATTCTGGAAAATGTTTCACAGACTGGGTTTTCTTTTGTAATATAAAAAAAGGAGTAACATACGAAGATAATTGAATTAAATATTATCATTTATAAATTAGTGAAATGACAATAAAGAATGTTTAAATCTTATATAAATATTCTATTAAATTATTATTCATATTTGAGAATAATTTTATTGATTGATATAAAAGTATTTCAAGTAGAAGTAAACTTATTTAATCGAATTTCGATAAAATAATTCTGTTTACAAGTGACATCTATCAAATATCTTGTAATTTTTATAAATTTTTTCGAAGAATACCTATCTAATCAAGTCCATAATTAAAATCTAGATAATTAATAATCGTTTAAAGCAAACTAATATTTTCAAACTAAATGATTGGTTCAATACCTTTAAAGAATAACATCATACCTTAAACATATATTAGCTTAAATCATCATGATACATGGACCATAACATATTTTTCATATAAAAGAACGAAAAATCCGAATCTTTATGTTTATTCGACCCAATTTTCTATCATTATAGATATTATATTTATCCTTTCTTTTTGAATATCCCATCACAAAAGTATGGCTGATACTACACCTGATAAAAAAATACTTACACTAGCTGACGTTAAAAAATTAGCCGAAGATCCTAATAAATGTATTATGATCATACATAATCATGTGTATGATGTAACAAAATTCAGTGAAGAGGTATACTATTATAAAAATCGTTAATATAAAATATGATTTTTTGTTCGTATTGTTTTATAAAGCATCCAGGTGGTGAAGAAGTTTTAAAAGAACAACATGGTAAAGATGCATCAGATGCATTCGAAGATGTAGGCCATAGTTTTGATGCACGTGAGCAAATGAAAGCATTTCAAATAGCTGAACTTCATCCAGTAAATTTTTTTTTTATTAAATTAATATGAGTTGAAAATTATAAAATATCTGTTCCTTTAGGATGATCACAAAAAAAATGCTCGAGTAAGATCTAATACAATTAAAGAAAAACTAAAAATTTCATTTAACAATTGCTTTTTATTTAGTCTCGTCCTTTAGTTATTAATTCTACTGATTATGCTTCTAATCATGGTGCAATATCTTGGATAAAATGGGTTATTCCTCTTGTGATAGTTATAGTTGCTATTATTTACTTCAGAGCAATGGCTAGACCAGATCCGGATATAAATAGACCACCAAAAGCCATATAAATTTTTTAACATTATTTTTTCTCATCAATTAATTGAAATTTTTTTGTTTGAAATCTTTAATTCTGTTTACACAAAAAACAAATAATATAATCGATTATGGGGAAAAGAAATAAAAATTCTTTTTTACTTGAAACAATTCAGTATATTTTTTCATAGATATTTCTCTTGTATTTGTCTTTGTATCCATCTTGTTTTCTTGAACACGATGGCAGAAGATCAATTAACAAATCAATTAAAACGTATTGAGTCAATGACAAATGTTGATTTACGTACTGAACTTAAACAACGTGGTTATTCAACATCAGGAAATAAAAAAGATCTTTTAGTTAAATTACGTAATGCGTTACAAAATGAATACGAAGAAAATTTAAAAAATTCTGTTGATAATTCACAGAATGAAATATCGATTCCAGATAAAGATTTATCGAATAATGATCAAGTAAAATTTTTATTTTAGTACAAGTAAATGATGTTAATATTATACTCATTTAGATAAATACACATCATTCACCTGTAGTCATATCACAAACTGTTGATACATGTCCTGTACTAGTAAATTCTATTCCGACAGAAATAATTGTATCAGCATCAATTAATACAACTTCAGATATTTCTTCTAAATCAGAAAGAAAAGAATCTACTATTGATTCTCAACTTCAAAATACTGAACAGTCAAGAGAAGATGACCTAATTATTTTGGATACACCAGAAATTGATAACGATATAGAGGTGATTTCAGTTGTGGGTAAGAATATTGCAGAGAAACAGAATGATATAGAAAAAGTAGGAGAGATATCATGTCTATTAACTGCTGGCAATAGTAATGCCAAGTCAGATTCTAATGTTAAAGAAATTCCATTGTCCAATAAACAACATCGTTTAAATCAATCGATCCCACAACAACAACAAGAAAATAATCATTCATCAGATGTTCATTTATCTCCTGATTTAAAATCAACTACACCACAAAAACAAGATATTATAAAAAGTAAATATTCTAATCACAGTTTTTTTTTACTAAATTAACCTTCAAGTAGATCATAATTGATCTAATCACATTAAGCCTTTGATTACACGATCAAGTTTAAAAATACCAAACATAGTGACAAAATGTATTAATTTAATATCTATGACAAGAATTATGTTTCTTATTAGATACTATATACACTCTTTTTTACTACTAATGTGGGAGTAGTTATTCCATTTTTCATACAATGTATGATATTCTATTATTTTTTTAAGGTAAAGAATTAGAAGCATTAGCTTCTCAACAACAAACCAAACCAAATCGTTCTGAAGTAACATTATTTAGAAAAAGTTTGAATCGTTCAACAACTAATAAAATCAATTTATCATCAGAACTTCTCAAAGTAAATTCAGATTTTTCCTATGAAAAACAAGATTATAAAATTTATTTTATTTAAATAGACATTAATATCTGATTTAAGTCTAGCACCTGAATCTGTTAGCAACAATGAACTTGATACTGTGATAAATTATAGTGATCATTATATCGAACAAGTACCACATACATCAATATTTGAAACAAATATTAAAAATTCAGATGCATTAACAATTGGAGATTTAGCTGATAAAAAACAACCAACTAGACGAACTGTTGTTATGGATGTTATTGTATGTTTTATTTTATATGTATATACATATGAAGATTTTCTTCACAGATTGATTCATCATCAATAAATGATGATTTAAATATGAGAAAACAAATAACTCGTACATCTTCATTGGAATCAAAAACATTATCAAATGAAAAAACGTCTAGTAGATAAATTTCTATTAATTTTGCTTATTATTTTTTCAATATTATTCTTTATTTAGCTGACATGACCGATGAACCAGTTCGAATAAAACATGCAAATACAATGCAAGGATTACCAAGTCAAATTTTGTATATTTCTGGTCTCACTCGTCCATTTAGTCTATTTCAATTGAAAGGACTTCTTCAGCGTTACGGAACATTAATAGATAATGAATTCTGGCTTGATAAAATAAAAAGTCAATGTTTTGTGACTGTAAATAAACATATATGCATTCTCTTCATTATAATTGAATCTTTGCTTCTATTATTCAGTATAGTACATTAGAAGAAGCAGAACATGCTTATAAAGAACTCGATGGTTGTCGATGGCCTTCAACTAATCCCCGAACATTATCTGTTCGATTTGGACGACAAGATGAAGTAAATTTATCAATTGTGAAATATCCGAAATTAGTTTTTATTTTTAGTTAGAATTTAGTAAAATTCATGATTTACCACCTGATCAAATGTCTATTGGTAAAACTGATATTTTTATTCAAATCAATATTAGTTTCTTTTTATAGATTCAGTAGATCGTCTTATGCAAGAAAAAACAAATAAAATATCATCAAATCGATCTATCAGTCCAGTTAATGGAATGAAAGTTAGTACTAAAAGAAATCATACAAATGTACAAGAAGTGAATGAATCAAAACGACAAGAAGAAATACATAGTGGATTTCTTATTACTGATGTTGATGGTAAAAAAATAGGTTTCTATATTATTTTTATGAAAAGAAATATATAGAAAATTTTATTTAGAAGTAATCGATGAATCACCAGTAAAAGATTTAGATGATTATTTTCGTAAAACAAAAGCAAAACCATCAATTTATTGGTTACCATTAACAGAAGAACAGGTTTAAATTAATAGAATTTTTAAATATTTGATTGATTTTATTTATTATTCAGGTTATTGAACGGGCTGAAAAACGTAAAGACAAACGTAATCTTAAAGAAAAAAATGAAGACTATAGTGAAAAAACTTCAAATTCAGTATATAAACATTTCGTTTGTTTTTATAAATCTAATTTTTATTCATTTAGAAATCTCGAAACAAAAGAAAACGTAGTTCATCAGCATCACCATCATCTAGACGACATTAAATCAAATATGTAAATAATCTAGTTGCTTTTTCTTCATGATCTTGCATTGAATTTGACCGAAATCAAAGAGTATTTCTCTTGAACGACTATAGATTTTCTTCTTCTGTGTGTATTGTATTTTGTTTCTTTTCTTTTTTCTTCTAAATAAGAAAATAAAAACAAAAATAATTGTTATTATCCTTCTTTTTTCTCAATTACTTTTACATAATGATTATTAATTTAAAAGAATTTCCAAGATACATTAAATATGCATCGAACACATGCTGATCTTATTCAATTACTTGTTCGAAAAAATATTATTAAAAATGAACGAATTAAAACAGCTATGTTAGCAACGGATAGATTAGATTTTTCTACAGATCGATTATATGAAGATGTACCACAACCAAGTGATTATATATATATCAGAAAATAATTCTAAAATTTATCTTGATTCTTTTTTTTTAGTTGGTTATAATGTAACTATATCAGCACCACATATGCATGCACATGCACTTGAAATGTTACATGATAAACTTATTCCTGGTGCTCGTGTACTTGATGTTGGATCAGGTTCAGGATATTTAACTGCATGTATAGCTCGTCTTATTCAACCGAATGGTAAAGTAATTGGTATTGAACATATACCAGAATTAGTTCAATTATCAATAAAAAAATATTTCGAAAAATGGTCGTTCATTATTTAATGATGGAATATTAGAGATTGTATCAGGTGATGGTCGTCTAGGTTATTCACAAGGTGGTCCCTATGATGCAATTCATGTTGGTGCAGCATCACCGAATCGACCTAATGAATTAATTGAACAATTAAAACCTGGTGGACGTTTAGTAGTACCTGTTGGTGTTGGAAGTCAAAAAATGATGATCTATGATAAAAAAAATGATGGTCATGATGTTCATGAACGTGCAACTTTAGGTGTAAGTTATGTTCCATTAACAGATAAATCAAAACAATGGCGACATTGATATAGTATGATCTATTCAGATTTCTTTTTTTCGAACTTTTGTAAATAAATAAATAAATAAATAGTCTGTAAATTAGGTTTTTATCTAATTGATCTATTAATAACAAGATGTTAGAGATTGTCATATTTTTGTTAGCTTGTACTTATATCTAAATTACTTATATAGTCTACCTAAAATAGATGTTTGAGTATCTGTCAGACGAGAATTTTGTATGCCTACTAGTTTTATGACATAAACATAAGCAAGATTATTTCCAGAAATATATCGTTAATGGTATTGTTTTTAATTATTCATACCCGAAGTGCTGTCAATATGTCGCTTATTAAAGCAACATATACTATATGTTAATTGCTTATAGTATAGAAGTAAACTTAGATACAATGTATATATATATATGTCAGTTAAGAAGATATTAGCAATGTTTTTAGGCATAGTGATAATCTACTTATAATGGATATTTGTCATTTGTATAATTAACAAAGAGAAACAAATAATTATAGAATATTCGATCAAGAACTTTACTAATATTTGCATGTTTTTCATCAGAATCAAATTTACGATTTCATACTGATCAGCTTTAGATAAATTTTTCGTCATATTTTTATTCTCTAAGCTAACAGATCATCATATTAATCTATTTCTAAAAATAAACAATTTGGAAATTGCATCCGAAGATGAATATAATTAAACTAGAAATTGATTATTGCTACTATTTTCTAGAAAGCACTTATCGGAATTTCTTTCATATATATTTCAAAGGAATATAATCAATAATGAAATACAAGATCATATATTATATATATTAATAAAAGTCAAAAGAAATTTTACTAATAAATATTTTATACAGATATTCATGTTGATAGGATAGATTTCTTTTTTTCAGCAAAATGAATAATGTTTGAAATTATGAAAGAAATTAATGTCAGATACCTATATTTGAACAAAAAACCTTAATCGTATGTCTAATTTCGCGTAAGCATTCTATCTATATCTCGTTATCATTTTTTTTTGTTTTCGATATTTTATCATGTCTAATAGATCAAATTATCGTAAGGAATCCTTCAGTAATGCTTATCGATTAAATCCAAGCATTCTTTCGATGATATTCAACCTCCCTTCTTTCTTTTCTTTTCCTATTGACTTCGAAAAGGGTAATTGATTTCATTAGAATTCCGATCAAATCATCGTTACTTGGAATTCATTATTTTCATAAAAATCACATTTTATTCTCTTTTTTTTTGGCACTCTCTATTTCCAAAGAACACATACAAAATAAAATTGCAACAATGAATCACAAAAATAAATTTTTCTTTTTTTTTTTCTAAATCAAACACTATCTCGGTACTAAAGAAACTGATTCTCTATGTGTATTATTATCCATTATTGTCAGATTTGTTTGTTTCATAGTGTTTAACCTGTTGGCTTTTTTAAGATTTTTATTAGTTTGTGTGAGATTAATATTTTCAAGTCGAACTGATTTTGATCGTTGTCGAATGGTTCGTTGACAACATTGTGGTAAATGTGGAAATAAAACTAGAAACCATTCACATAATGTTCGTCGATATGGTGGTGATGTAATTCCTAAAATTATTCGTATGATTTAATTTGAAATTCTTTTGTTTTTTAATTAAAAATTTACCATAAAAAATAAAATTTAATGAATGATTACAATATTGCATTAAATAAATAATAGCTTTAAAACGTGGATACGCTCCTTCTTCATCACGGCTACGAAATAAAATGGTTGTAACAAATACAACTGGACTTACAAGAATAAAATAAAGTAAATTTAATGTAAATAATAAATAGAATAAACTTTTGGCTTTATTTGGTGTTGTACCCAATGGATTATTTGCTCCTGAACGACGTGAACGAAATACACGTCGTTGTTGATAATAAACACGATAGACGATAAGAAATGTTCCAATACTCATAACTGTAAATGGAATAAGTGCATATAGACATACGTCAATCCATTCCCATACCTAATAAATATTTCATAGGTTGTTTTTTTTTATTCCTTCCGTGTTTTTTAATAAAGAAACTACTTACATGATCCCAAAAAAATTCATACCGACTACCTTGTAAAGCTTCACATTTCTTATCAGTTAGTTTTGTTTTGAATGGAACGATAGTTGTTGTTGTTATATTTAAATCAGATAAATCTCGTTTATTTCTTAAACAAGTTGAATTCCATTGAGAATTATCACAGATTGAAAATATTGATTGAGTATTACGTTTTTGTATTAAATTATTATTTATATCCGATTCATTTAAAATCAATGATTCGTGTGCTGTAACAATTGTTTGATTTTGATGATATTCAATGGAATTTGTATCATGTTGTAAACGAAGAAATATTAGTTCATGACAATTAAGTAAAGCAGTAAGTAATAAAATAATTCCAACAATATATTCCGCTGAACGAGGTGTACAAAATTTTTTTGCAAATTTTATAAAATTTGTTGCTACAGCTCGATCAACAGATATAAAAGATAAAATCCATGATGATGAATGTTGAGACCAATATGTAATAAATGTATGTAAACGACATGATACTGGATTTAAATTTCTTAAAGAAAATGTTCCACCATATTCAGTCATAAGAAATAAATCAAGTAAACCTGAATATAAAACTAATAAATCCATTAATGAAAGTAATGCAAGATAACGAAATGTTGATGATTTACGTAATGTTCCATACGAAAATATAATATATGAAACAATATTACCGAATGTACCAACGATAAGAAGAAATATTGAACCATACCGTATTAAACGTGTATCTAAACCAAATATGGCTGTTGATGATGGTTGTATATTAGTACTCATCTGAGCATCTAGAAAGATTTTCAATAACTATTATCAGTCAACACATCATTTATTCATCCATGCGAAAATCAGCAACGCTCATAAACGTCAGATTTGATTATATAGGACGTATCTAACAAATAATGATTCTTCTTTTTTTTTTGCTTCTCTCCTTTTCCATTTGTCTCTATCTCTCTTCCTTTTCTTTTATAGACTGAAGCGAGAAAAGAAAATGGTTTTTTTATTATTCTATTATAAATAAGCAGTAATAAATATTTTAGATTTCGTTTGTTCTTAAATAAAAAAAAATTACTTTTCCTGTGTAAATTGTTTAGTTGAAATGATACATTATAAATGAAGCAAATAAAGTTAATATTTCTTTCCGATGAATAGTTTTCTCGGGACGTCGTATTTCTTTCTCCTTTTTTTAATCCAGTATTAATTCTTCTATTAACGTTTCTTTTTCTAATTACTTACACATAGAGACGAAAAAGGAAGTAAGATAAGATCGTACCTACGTTGTTTTTTTCTCGCTCCTCTTATACATGATATATTTTCAGTTTATAGTTATCTATTCTGATGACAAGATTAAAGTGTTTTTTCTATATTTATATACATACATACTCATACTCATATAAAACACATATTGTCTGTTGATTACAGGAATAGAACTATTTATTAGTTCATTCGGCCTTAAACATTCATTCTATTATTGTTTATTAACTATTGAATAGTTGTTGTTATTGACAGCCATTTTGACAGATTCTATCGGTTAAGTTTTGTTCGCTCTGTCATCTCATTTCTCCGATCATTCATGTTATTTCCCTGGTGGCTTTTTCTTTCTCCTTCGTTGCGAGTCATTTAAAAGAGTTTTATTCATTTATTCATAGATAATGATGGATAAGTATTCATATGGGTATATTCAATGCTATTTCCGTATATAAGATTGATCGAAAAAGTCTAATAAATAACTATCAAATTTACATATAAATTCAAATAATCTATAACAATATTGAGTTACATATGATATTATCGACTATATTAACATCAAAATTATAATGTATTTAGTTTAAATTGATCAATAAAGACGGAATACAAAACAATATATATTCATATTGTTTTTGAAAATATCTATGATAAGTAATATCTTATAATCAAATAACTAACTTAATAATAATCTTTTCTAAATTCTAACTTAAATATTATTTTTTTAAATTTTTTAAGAAATAAAAAATCAAACTTACATTTTTTTTGATATTTTTTATTTTATTCACATTCTTATCATTCGTTGAAATCTTTAATCTATGCTCGACGTATATTCTATATACTTAAGAAAAGATTCTATCATTGTACTCCAAAGCACAAGACAAAAATATAAAGCAACAATACAAAGAGAATTTGTTAAAAAACAGAACAGAATATATGGAAGTTCTCTTCTTTTCTTTGTTTCCTCATTTTTTTTTCTTTTTTTCTCATTAATCTAGCACTCTTCCTTCTTGCTAGCATACATAGGTCTAGTAATACTTACGAGCAAAAAACGGAAACTATCGTCGAAGACAGAAACACAAGTCTTTCTAGTATTAAAAGAATAAGGGGATTAATTCGGAATAAGAAAGAGGTATTGATAATAAGTACGACTAAGCAGAAAAAAAAGAAGAAGAAGAAGAAGAAGAAGAAGAAGAAGGGAATTGTGCACAATAGAATGATAGATGTTGAATAGATTATAAGTGTATGACGACATTCATAGTCGAAAACATAGTTAAAATTCGATAAGCAAACTATCTATGTCGATATTTCTTTAAGCTATTCTGTACATGATAAAGATGATGTCGATAATATGATTGATATACATACTATATAGGTCTTGGCCTCGACTGTTGCTAATTTGATTTGTAAAAAAAAACCAAAAGTAATTACTTTTTTTGTATCATCAAGTTAGTATTTGTCGATGGAATACAAATGTCAATCGTGCGAACAAATCTATGATAAAACAACACGATAAAAACCTTTCAACAATTACGAACGAAAAGATCAAAACTTAATAGATGAGTCTGTCAAAAAACTAAGCTTTAATATATAATAAATAACGAGTAAAATACTTGAGATAATTAGTATTGTCAATAGAAGGTGTGCCATATTTATTTTAAAAAAAAATCTATTAATAAATACAGGAAATAGAATTAATTTCACTTAATTTGTTTTTTTGCACGTCGACATCCATTGATTTGCTTGTGCTCTATTGACTCTATTTGCAATTGTATAGAAAACTTCGTTTCTCATTATTCTAATATAACTAATTCAGTCGTAATAAGAGGATTATTAAAATTATTTTCATATACTATGAACATATTATTCTGTTCTATTCTCATGAGATTATATGATTTCCATTGACGTGTTTAGCTATTAACTTAAACGATTTGTATCATAGAGTAAAGAAAGAAAGAAAGAAAGAAAAGAAAATTTTTCTTAGTATGATTGCATCGAATATAACTATTAGATAAAACTAAGTTAAAACGTAATTAATAATAAATGTAAAAAAATCCCTTGGTTACTTTTCTCTCGTGAGACACGATATCTCAAACGATTACTTTTTTTCTTGTTTTTCTGTTTATCAACAACTCAGACACAAAAAAACAGAATTACGTATAACAATTAGTAGCAATAAATTCTGTCGAGATTATATGACAAATTAACACATTAAAATAATTAATGTAAAGATTTATTGAACTAACATTTTCTTAAGTCTATTCGATAAGACAAGTGTAAATTATATTAATATTGCTTTCAAAAAAGGATCAACAATGCACGTCAATTCGATTATCTATTAAATTAAATCATGATAATATAGTTTACAGTTAGTTTAAGCAACAAACAAAAAAAACATTGATCAATTGATTGAATACAAATCAAAACAATCGAATATATATTTAGTCATTTGATAAAAAATAACTTTATGCATGCACGTTATTTACACTTCGTGATCTCGAATGTTTCTCAATCAGTGAATCTATATTAAATAATTTATCAAAATATTAACATTTTTCGAGCGAAAAAAAATAGATAATTCTTAAAATTGAAAAAGGAAATATAGACTGATTGTAAGAAAATAGATGTAATATAATCTTTTCTTAAGTCATTAAAGCCTTCTTGATGAGAATTTATTGTTATATTAGGAATTTTCATTAAATCAATAAAAAACACTTCTAAGAGTTCTGTATATCTAAAAATAAAGATTATTGACATTATATTAGATAAGGTTTCTTTAATCAAAAAACTGTCACGAATCTATAAAGTTCAAAAATCTATTTATGAAATTTTCTTCTATAAATATCATCTGTCAACTATGTTATAAATCGTCAATAGTTTTCCAAGTTTACTCGTTGTCATTATCTACTTATTAGACTTTCGGAAATTATGGTTTAGCAGTTCTATTTAGCATAAAAAGCACACTTCCGAGAGATGAATTGTAGACAGTTCATTGGATGTATTTTACAAACATATAAAGAAAAGATCAATGGGTAGTCTCGTCTCTAAGAAATTCATGTGTAAATACATATACAAAAATACCATATTTAAACTTGTCAACATCTATTTTATTATCATATAAGATTTATTTTCTTGCTTTTGTTTTAACTATTAGAAAAAAAAGACTGTTTAAACTTACAATAAAAAGAAAAAAAAGAAAAAGCTCTATTCTAAATATAAACGTTTATATTTATATATATATTTATTTCATTCTTCTAAGTGCCAATAAATGATGATGATCTTGAATTGTATACTGGAGTGGGTTTTTGTAATATTTGACGAATTTTTGAAAAAACAAAACTTTGATGAAGAATATTTTCACTATTATAATCACTTTCTTCACTAACTAATTCTAAACCATTACGTAAAAGTATTTCCAAAATTTCAATAATACTCATATTGGATATTTCAATACAACCATAACGTTTACCTTCAAGATTTTGAGAAGAATAATTAGTTGGTGCTGAACCAACTGTTTGAGAACGTCCAATTACACTTAATCTTCTACGTCTTGTTACTGGACTATTTGATGTTTTCGGTGTTGTTGATGGTGATTGAGAAGATATTGAAGTACGACGAAGTTTCGAATCCATTTCCGATGTGTCAGCATCTTCATTTTCTTCGGCTGTAGTTGAAAAATTTGTTAGATTAAAATTTGGTTCTATTGAATCATCATAAACAGTTATATTTGATGTATAACGTTCAAATATACCACACAAAAAATGTAATTCACCAAAAATAAGTATTTTCGAATCAATTGAATAAGCTGAATTTGACTCATCTTCACGTTTAACATAAATTGTATCTGTATATCGATATTGTTGTTGAGGAGATAGACTTTTTTCACCAATTGATGTTAATGTTCGACGACGAACATTGAGAACAGATTCAAGATCAACACTACCTACATTCGAAGGAAGAGGAGGAGGATTAGAAGTAGAAGGTGAAGACATTATTATCTAAAGAAGAAAAAAAAAAGGAAAAGAAAAAACTACAAATTCTAAACTAATACAATGTCTTTATTTTTATTTTAATCTTTTTTTTTATTGAATATATATTTTAATGAGCTTTTGTGTCAATTGTTGGTAAAGCACGAGACATATCTTGCGAATCTTTGTTACGTAATAAAATAAATTCTTGTAATTTTGTTGTTGCACCAAAATTTGTTGAATTAGCCACAATTGAAAAATAATGTTTATGTAAAATTTCTAAAACTTCAATTAATGACATTGTTGGTAATTCAATTGTTGTATAAATTTTTCCCGATAAACGATCATGATTTTTAATTGATTCAGGATCTTCATGATGTATTTTAATATGTGATGTATATTTTTGAAATATATCCGTTAAGATATGATAATCACCTAAAGAAATATTTTGAAAAAAATATGTTTAAATAGAAATTCTATATATGTATATTTATATATAAATATGCAACAAACCATGAAATACACATCGTGCATCTTCTTTAAGTATATCGGTCGATTTTTCAACTTTTAAAATGATTACATCGGTATAACGATGAGAATCTTGGGATGCTTGAGGAGCTGTTACAGATAATCGACGTCGACGAACTTGAAGAACAGATTCAAGATCAACATCAGTTGTTGACATTTTTCTTGATTGACTATTATCCATTGAGATTGACTAAAAATATAAGAATATATATATATAATTCATCTTCTAATTTAATATATACTACCGATGAACGTAAATTCGAGATAGAACCTCGACGTTCATCTGTATTTGCTCCTGTAGAATCTTTTCGGCCTTTTGTTGCTTCGTCAGACATTTTTATGAAATTGAAACTGAATGTATTTTTTACTCCTTACTCTAACCTTATATGATTCTCTTTCTATGGCATCATAAAAAAAAATCGTTCTGTTGTTTTACCTATTATAATCGATGGGTGTGATCTTTATCGAAAAGATATATCGGCTCGTAAAACTTAATAACAATATTTGCCTGCCGTTTTTTTTTCTTTTTATCTTTATCTTTCTTCTCTCTTTTTTTTCTTCGTTTTTTTTTTTAAATATAAAATACTAACAAAAGAATGGTATGTAGAATATCAACAGCGATATATGATAAAAAAAAGAAGTGAAAGAAAGAAAAATATATATTCTTATCGTCAAACCAAGCAGAACAAACATCTTATCACTATAAAAATTGTGCTTACGCATATATATATATATACAGATTCTTTTTTTTCGTTTTTTTCGTCTTATACGATGCATTTTTTTTCTATTATCGAAATAGATTAGATTTTAATTGCGTCTTATAAAATGACAGAAATACTTGTAAATCTATATATAGGTTATCAGTTAATCAATAGAATATACCTTTTCTTTTAACAATGGATGCGACATGCTGATGATTTGATATTTATTTGTTATTATAATTTGATAACTTGTTAGAAAAAATGTATTTTCTTTTTACAAAATTCTATTCGTACTGGTGAAATGAGTGAAATGAAATATTATTCTTGAAATCCTTATGTATTTCTTTCCTCTGCTTCAAGGCAATGTAAAGAAAGAATATATTGGCAGCAAAAATATGTAACATTGACGATCGAATGCATACTTTCTTACACTTTTATAATACAACGACGAAATACGAAATACGTGCTCGTCGTCATCATTGAGAATGTTAACAAGTGATTTACATAAATAATATTACCTTATTCAACAAACGAAAGAAAAAAATAACACTTTTTTTTACTTTCCTTGACAATATAAATATTAAAAATGATACAAAGTAATCGAATTTTATGAGTAAAGTTAAATTCGGAGTATATAGTTTCATAAATTCTTCAGTGATTGTTTTACTGCTATATTTGATAGAAATTGCATACAATAAAAATTTGATTCTTTTTTGTATAACTAATTGAAAAAAAGCACAGAAATAAAAATGATTTCGTTTAAAATCAATTTTTTGAAATAGAATAGTTTATTATGTAAAGAAAGTACAATAAGAACATATAGTACAAAGGTTTAAAAAACGATCATAAAGTTTTTGTTATTTGAATCATTTTATTTGATCTATATAATACAAAAATGACTCTTAATATTTTATGCATATAAATTTCTTCGTCAAGATTTATTGAATATTTATAATTTAGTTTTTATAAGAACATTTTATTTTCAACTTGTATATAATTGATTTCAATATTTATTTAATATATATGTAATACATTTCTTTATGAAAGCTAAGCAAATCTTTTACATGAATAAAAATCATATTATTATGATTAGAAATGTCCAATAAACTCTATGAAAAAATCATTAAATTTATCAGAAAAAAGTATTTATATACAAGTACCATCCATGATTTCTAGATAGTCATTCCATATGTAACCAATAGTAACGTGCCTCTATTCATATGATATTTCCATGTATTCTACTCGTTGAAAATGAGACACATGGTATTAAAAGGAAGAAAAAAAATGACGGATGATAATATTTTCTTCATGACATGTTATCTGACGTATAGAAAAAAAAATGACTCATAAAGAACACTAATTCAGTAATTTGAGTTCTTATAATTGTCTACACAACAAATATAAAAGAAAGAATTATGTACAGCATAAACTAAATTCATATTATTCGATGTCACATTCCAAAGAATCGAAAGATGTATGAAAAAAGATTTTTTTTTCTTCTGTTTATTATTAAATTATTGTTATATCTTAGTTATCAAGTTCAACATCATCATTATCATCATTTTCATCGAAACATAATGGATTAGCATTATCTTCAAATGATATTAAAGCTAAATTAAAAGGATTATTTCATCGTCATTCTCGTGGTGATGCGAATCTTGCTCAGGTTGTTATTTGTAAACGTTTTGCAAAAGTTCCAATGCTTTTTCTTGCTGTAAGAAATAAAAATCTTTTAGATGAAGAAAAAATAATCTTTTTTTGATTTTGTTTTAGAAACGTCGACAAAGACGAAAAATTTCTATTGAAAATAATGATAATTCATATACAGATGATAATGCTGGTATAATGGCTTTATCGTCATCTGGAAAACTTTCATTCGAACAAGTTCCGGAAACATTTGAAGATTATACACAAAAAGTTCTTATTTTAAATATAATTTATTAGAAAACTTTTTATTCATATATTTAGTTGGAAGAAGCGTTGGTGCTATTAAGAAATATGACACGTGAAGATTATGAAAGTGAAATAACACTTAAAATTCTTCGTTTTCTTGAAAATCTAATTCATCAACCTAAAGAATGGATTTCTGGAGCAAAATTAAAATTATCTGAAATGAAATTTCCAGGTAAACATTTCTTTTTTCGGAAAAATAAATTTATTTTTATTTATAGAAATGGCAATGACTCTAATGAATAGTTATAAAGAAAAAGGTTATTTAGTACGACGTATAGTTTTTGTTCATAGTATATTACTTTACAATTCAATGAGTAATTTTACTGATCATGAATTTGATAAAGAAGGACTTATTAGAAAAGTATATATATATATATGAAATAATATTCATAAAATAAAATTTATTATTTTTTAGCAATCAGCTGATGCTGGTTTTATTGAATTTGGTTGTGATATACTCAATGATCCATCATATCGTGAATCATTAAGAAAATGTTACGTTATTCAAAGCCCAGAAGAAACAATGCAAAGTGATGATTTTAATAATTATCAAGTTTGATTTGATTTTTATATTATTTTTAATATATTTATTTGATTTTCTATTTAGAAAATTTTATATATATGTGATTCAGCATTAACGATTCTTTATAATTTAGCTAATTTACCAGAACTTAAAATTCATTTTCGAGAATGCAATGCTATGACTGTATGTATTGAATAGTTTATTTTTAGAACTTTGAGTCATATAGTTTAAATTCTTGTATTTTATTCTCCTGCGAAATATTTATCAAATGAATAATCATGTGTTTCAAATACAATAAAAGAATTTGACTCATTTTTTCAAAGTATTGAGATTAACAGGGAAAATATTTCGCTAATAAAACAGTTAAATATAATATTTAGTGTACTTATTTATTTAAAAGATTTTACAAAAAACAAACGCGTTAAGCTGAGTATGTATTCAATTGAAGAGTTTCGTTTAATTCCATATAGTATCATTAAAGTAGAAGATTTAAAGAATACAATAATGAAAAGTTTAAAATATCTTATTCGAATTGTATTTGTTTAGATAATTGCTGAATTTACAAAACTACCAACAAATACAATTCAAATACAATTTCCTGAAATAACGGATAATGAAGAATATATATTAAGTATAAAAGAATTACAAGATGTAGCTAGTGCTATACGTGTTACATCATGTTTATTGTTACCATTAATAATGAATGAAGATGAAGATAATCTTTTAGCTACAAATACATCAGGTTAGATCAATTTATTTTCTTTTATATGCTACTATGTTTTTGGTTTATTTTAGAAGTTCTCCCATTATTATCTGGAATGATTCAAATGTATAATAGAAATGATCAGAGATTTTATGGATTTTCTTTTATTGAACTTGTTGATGGTTTATCAAAATTAATGGTTCGTGGACGTACACATACATTTATCGATCAAAATCTTGTTAATCTTCTATTAAATATTCTTGAACATTCAACACAAGATAATTCTTTACTTGAATGTGTATCAAATGCAATATTAAATGCTGCATTTGATGAAAGAGTTCAAAAATTTCTTGATTCTGATCATGCTATTAATGTAATAAGATCTACTAAACATAGTAGTCAAAGTCAACTTGTTAAAAAAAATTGTGAAGCTATTCTTTGGACACTCAATCGCATTCCACATAAATGTTCATCAACGATTAGTAACTCATGTAAATTACAAGGTCATATTATGATCTCATATAATCGATCTGTTACGGCAATGTGTTTAAAAATTCGAGATCGTCTCAAAGTAAATAATCTATCAGTATTATCAATCTAAAAACGAAAACGATTTTCTTTGATAGAAATTAAGAGTGAGCACAGCTAAGACAAAACGACTATTTACGAACTCACATAGTATAATAATAATCTCCCATAGGCTTATTGCCGTTAGGGATAGTCACGATTATTATTGAGGATCTCTATGCAGCCGACTTTTGTCATTTTCACAGACAGGGGTATCTGCACTCCTTCCGTCTAACATATTGACTAGCGATGTATTCAGTACGCTACGAATGTTACGAGTTTATAATGAAATAGAATATAATCTAAACGTCCATCTGTTTTCTATTGGTATACTGAAAAGTTTTCATGTTTCTTATAATAGATAGATGATAAACATTTAAAGCACACATAGAAAACGAGAATTAAACTATGTATTAATACGTCTCTTCTATTAACAGTTCAGCCTATTACAAACAATTATGATATCTAATTTCTTTCTGTTACAAATCTTGATAGATACGAGAAATAGTTTCTTCTACATCTCATAGTAGAACAATTTGAACGTATTGTACATTCAATTCTTGAATGAATGTACTAAAACTGTTTATAGTAATTAGAATTTTCATTTATATATCTTTTTTGTATTTAATAAATTAGTCATTACATTATAATGTATGGCTCGATGTTGATAATATCAATGGTGGTGTTTTGGAATCAATGGCTCAAGCAGTGGAAAATTCATCTATAGTATTAATTTGTATGAATGAACAATATAAACAAAGTTATTACTGTCGACTTGGTTAGTTTTATATTTATATTCTATATAGAAATACTGTTTTTGACAGGAGTTACAGAACTTTGAATTGTTAATTACTAGAATACTAAAATGTATCAATCTATTACAGATTGTTTTTCATATAAATTAAAAATGAATAATTCTAGACGATATCATTCATACTAAAAGTTCATCGAAATAATAGAAAATAATTTGTTTGTTTTTTTTAGAAGCAGGTATGATCTGAAAAATTTATCGAAAAAAAGTTTTCTATCTATTATTTCAAACAGAATATGCAACGGAATTGAGAAAACCATGTATTCCATGTTTAATGCAACCACGATTTCGTCCCTATGGATGGGTAAAACTTTTAAAACCATAAAACTAGTTTTTTTTCTAAGTTTTCTATTATTATTATTATTTTAGCTTGGAATAATTAAAGGAGCAAAAATTCATGTTGATTTTGCAACATCACCGTAAGTTATCTATATCGGTTATCTTCTTTTTCTTTCCTATAGAAACATAAAAAAAATATTTAATTTAGTTTCGAAGAAGCATTTGCATTATTAATTCGTGAAATAGAAACCATACGAAGAGATATAATGATGAAAAATAATAATAATACTCAAGATAAAACTCCTCCACCTCTTTATCATCAACCTAGTATTGGATATAGTCCTATCTATAATAGTAATACTATTGATGGTAAATAATTTATTTTAAATGTAAGATTAAGTTTATATTGATCTTTTTGTTTTTTTTACAAAGGGAATTCATTAGAATTTAAAAATAAACAACGAAATGTAAATATAAATAATCCTATTCTTGATTGGAATGTAAATCTTGTTCAACAATGGTTAGTACGTATAGGATTATCACAGTATGTATATTGAATAAATTTCGAGCAGATAATATATATATATTCTCTTTTTTGTTTCAGTCTAGAAAATGTTTTTACGAATATTGATGGAAAATTATTATGTAAATTATATCAAATGAAACAATTAGCTGCCGATTCATATTATAGTTTTCTTGCAAAACATTTTGATCGTCTAGAAATAATACACATGAGTGATACATTGAAGTTCGATTATGAACTTGAATGTCTTTTTCAATAACACAACAACGAATTAAATCATCTATTTTTATACTACGTTTAACTTCTTTTTTCTCTATTATGCATATTAATTATGCTTCTCTTTTTTTTTGTAAAAATAAGTTAATACTTATAAATGTTTAAATAAAATTAAATCAATGATGACTTTGATAATGTATGATACATTTAAGAAAAAACAATTCTTATCTGTCTACTGTGATATACGTGGGTGTAACATGCATCTCCCACCCACACCCACAACCACCCTTATTGAGTTTTAAGACTCAATGCTTTATTTTTCTTCTATGAGCATATCATAGCGACATCCTTTTTACCTATGTACAGTTTAAGATCACCTACTAACCAATCGGTAGTTATGTCATTTATTTCTGTGACCGGTGAAACAGTTACTCATCTGTTCTTTTTTTTTTATGAAGGGCGACTTCAGTTCCGCCTCTTTTTATTTCTACACTCGAGCAGCAATATACATGCTAGATATGAATTACACATAATAATATCACTATGTTAAGTATTTGTTTTTCGTCGTTTTCGATAGAAATAAACTAAGGACGAATTGATAACTTTTATTATTGTTG